TTATTTTTAGTTTTTTGTTTTTATTAAACTTTTCTTTTTCTTTTTCTTTTATATATATATATAAATATATATATATATATATATATGGCTCTATAGCATTCCGCAGAAAAATATATAAACACATTTGAGGCCATCACAGCACGAGAAAGCGAGAGAAAAGGGGGCATTACACATGAACTGAAAAGGACAGTAAGAACCTGACGCATCATCTATCAGTTTCCACGTCCTTCACTCTCAGAAGCTCGCGTACAGCAGAAAAAAAAACTCAAAGTTGTTCTCAGGCATATGGGGCACTCCATGCAGCACGACCAAAGACGCTTATACATGGGAGCACAATAATAATAATAATAATAAAATGTATGTCAATCAATGAGTTTTACGTTTATACAACTATACTCGCTTGCTGGTCACACACGCAAAAACAACAGCATAAACTATAAAGAAGCAGAAAATATGCATACATGAGTAGCCAAACCCATATGCACCTTGTCTAAGGTTCGGTTGGGAAGTGAGAACAACAACACGCATAATTGTCAGCCACTCTTTTGTTTCCTCTAACAGTGCATGAAGAATACACAAATATACATATACATACGTATATGTATGTTACTTCCCAGACGCGCCGCTCCACGCATCCGGCGTACATGTGCACGTGCATAGGTGCGTTGTGATAGCCAGTGTTTGGTATTCAACTCCTCTCAAATTGCATGCGCGGCCCACACCTCGCGGTATCACCCCTCTTGTCTTAGCACAGCAATAGGAGTAGCCAAAGCAAACGCGGGAGCAACCCCCTAAAATGATGTGACAGCCAAATAAACACCCCACCTCTTTTGCAGTCAAGTCAAAAAGAAAAGGAAAAACTTTCCATGTTTCTTTCTGTTTGTATTTTTTATTGTTTTCCGTTTCTTTCCGTTTTCGGCTAATTCACTCGAATATTCATTGCTCGGTGCATTTTATTTTAAACTCGCAGCCTCTACCGTGGCGATCTGCACCGTGTGGAGAGGGCGCCGCACACAGCCACCCTGTACGTGTCCCGCCGGAGCCCCGTTGACTCCTCCCCTGGTGCACTGGCGGCGGCGGGGAGAAGATGGAGTTGAAGGAAAGCAACAAAGGCAAGTAACAACAACGAAAAAAAAAAAAAACGTAAACGAGGAAAGGGAAAAAAAAGTAAAAGTGACAACATTCAAAAACATGAAAAAGTAAAATAGGTAAAAAAAAAAAAAACGTCTTGAGCGTACCCTAGTCCATCCCCCGCACCTGAAATCCCCTGACGACGCCCTTCGTTGCGCACAGGAAGGGTTTCCCACGCCCTTCCATGTAATATAAATACGCCTTAAGTTGCACGCATTACATTCACAACCCAGGGCGTCGCCTTCAAGTAAACGCGTTCATCCCATTTAACCCGCTGCACACAGCTGCCCCCGTCCCTGTTCCTCGTGCACGCCAGCGTGTAGCGCCATACGCACACACACAGCAAGAGCTGTGCTGTAGGCCGTGCATCCACACAGAATGCGGCGAGAAAAAAAGGTCGGATGAGTCAATGCGTTGAATTTTCGCATTCACCTAAAGCAGCTCGTGTGAGGGGTGTACACCAAACCATTTCCAATAGGAATTTTCATCCCTCAGACGCCGTCTGCACAGGGCGTGTCGTGTGTGACCCCGTCACACAAATGACACTGCGGCGCGTCCCCATCATACCGCAACAAGTTGGTTTCCCTCCCTCCCCTCCTTCCCTACGGTAGCCCATTTCACCCGTGGGCGTACACGCGCCCATGCCCACACAAACCTGGCGCACAAATTTACCTGCATCATAGGCTGGATAGGCAGCGGGGCAGAACGAGGAGGAGAAAAAATAGGACCATCTGCGGGCGTGCACACAAACACACATGCAGACAAGTTCAAAGGGACCTACCTTTGCACAACGGGCTCCTTTCACCCACCATTTGTCACCGTATGACCTGGTGTGTGCGGTTACCACACGTCCCTCTCCCTCCCCGCAATATTACATTCTTCTTTTACTTCAAATTCTCGCTCGCTTGTACACTCCGCCCCACAAACCACTGCACCGTTTGCTCAATTTTTATTCTACGTAACCCTTTTCCTTCTTGGGTTTTTTTTTAAAAAAATGGTTAATGGTGGGCGTTCACTCCATTCCTTCGTACCCCCAAGTCTCTCCCTGCCTCCTCACCCTCTCATTCTCATGTGCACACTGCACCCACAACACCACCATTCCCTACACTTACACACAGAGAGAGAGAGAGTGGTTTATTACGGTGAACGCAACATAGGCGAGAAGAACGGGAAAAAAGGAAGCAGACGAGGGGAAGAAACAAACAAAAAAACGAGTGAAGATATAAGCGTAAGCCCATAAATGTGCACGCACACATACACATACACTTCTCCGTGTCGCAGAGAACGCGAAACCAGCAGAGCAACATGCCTTCGCCCTCACGGTCGTGCTCCCGCCACGCCCCACAGATAAAAAATATACATATATCTTCGGAATAAAAACTAAATGTGAGGGAAGGGTGGGGTAAAGCAGACACAAATATGCAGCCAACAACAACTGCGCCCATGCGCAAAACAAAAACAAAACAAAAATGATTCCTCATATACAGTGGGTGCACGCATGGACGTGTGCGGCGACAGAGTTCCTAGTTCACAACAGCAGCAACCAGGCAGAGAAAACACAAACACAACAACTTGATTACCAACGCAAAGACGTGAAAACAAGAGGAAAGCATCCATTAAAGACGCAGAAGCACAGCGACATCAATTACACGCCTGATCCTTTTTGCTCTGGCCCTTTCAGAAATAGCACCTTTAGTTTTCTTTTCCTTTCGTCCACAGTTACGCTCCCGTTCTCGCTGTCTCACACTCACGTGGTGGCGGTACTATAGACAGACGCAATGGTACCGAACACAATACCAATAACCCCAGAAAACAACAGCGCATGCGTGGCAACGTAGTCAAACAACCCAACTGACCGCAGTGTCCAGTTCCCTGAGTACAGGTAGAAGAGTGCGGGGAAGATGAAGGAGAGGAATCCCCCGCAGATGGCACCCACAAGGCCAAACACGGTGTTGATGTTGGGAATGAACAGTCCACAAAGAAGAACAGCCGTCGAGAGTATAATGACGGCGATGAAGTGTTTCCAGTAGGGGAGGGTTTCCACCTCCCAGCTGATGCAGTGATAAACCGCATTACGGCACGCCATCGTCTGCAAAGCGTAGGCCGCACACAATTTCACAAGGATCCCAACGTAGCCTACCATCACCATCGGCTCACGCACAGGGTTGTACATGAGCAGGATGGAGCTCTGAACCGCGCTTCCGAACTCCATGTATCCAAAGAAGACGGTTAATACATAGAGTACAAAACAAAGTATCATCGCAATAGCCGCGCACAAAGTAAATCTCTTCGCAGAACGCTGCTTCATTTCCCAATAGACCTCGTAGCAATTAATCTGGCAAAGAAAAGAAAACATAAATACTCCAAGACCCTCGATAGCTGCATTGCCAGTGTTGAAAAGCTTAATTGTCACTCCATCCACTTTGTGAATGTTTTCCAAACCATCCTCGCAGGAGTGAATAACAAGCATAATCACAAAGTACAGCACGAAGGCCACAGCTAATGTTGAAACGTAGCGTAGGGAATTCACCTGCTTTGGCAACACTAGTGGAAGCATGATAACAAACCAAACTAGACTTGTAATAACACGGCGCCCTGAAGTGGTCCTGAGGTAATCTGGTGCACCGGAGGAGTGCTTGAGAATAGGCTCCAAAATGTCGCCCACACTTATGATGTACGCAACGGTGGCACCAAATGAATTGATCCATCGAATTAAAGCAACAAAGTAGTCAAAGCGATCCCCTATTAATTGTTTAGCCATGGTTTCAAAGGTGCGAATTCCTGTCTTCTCCATTGTCTTGCCAAGAATATGCAGAGAGTAAATGGCAAAGGAGGCGATTACTATCAGGTATATAAAAGCCATGATAAGTCCGCTGCCATTAGCGGCCGCCGGAAGGCCGAGAATACCCGCCCCAACACACACAGAAGCCAAGTTGAAAACAGTCGAAACAATTCCACCGTATGGCACAACACGACCTGCAACCTTCTTTACACGGCTCAGGAAGCTTGGCGGCTCCCCCCGCTCCTCTCGCGGCCCCGAATAGAGGATTTCGTCAGGTTCATCGGAAGCAGTTGGAGTGTTTGCCACCTTCTTCGCCGCCTGTTGGAACTCAGCCTCCAGCGACAAGTAGCCGTTCGGATGTGGATCAAGGGGCTCCCGGTCGCTTACTGGCTTTGTTTGCATAGTGCGGCAGCAAAGTGACTCCTAGATTCTGCTTTGTTTTTTGGTGTATTCCTGTTTTACTCCGCCTGTCCCCTATTACTTCAATGTGCCTATTGCCCCCGCCCAGCTTCTTCTTCTTTCTCTCTGCTTGCTTGCTTGCTTGTCGTGGATTTTTCTCGCAGATCCTTTATTAAATAATAATAATAATAGTAATAATAATAATATATATATATATATATATACTGCTTCTTTCCTTCTCTTTGCCGCTTTGCTTGGGGTTCGTGTCTACGCCCCCCCTTTCTACTCCCGATGCTTTTGCGTCCTTCGCCTTAAAGACCTCCCCTCCGCAATCTGTATTGCCTTATCTAGATCTCTCTCTTTATTTCTTCTTTCACTCACTCACTATATATATATATATATATATCTTGTTTGCCTTTATGGTTCCTCTCAATTGCACTTTGCCAACACCGTTTTACAAATAATTAACAAATATGAGTTTCGGCTGCTAATACTTGTCAGTGCTAGCTTGTGTGTGTGTGTGTGTGTGTGTGTGTGTTTGCTTGTTGGCTTTACTTCCCTCACTCGCTGCCACGTCGTGATTGTTTCGTTTGCCTTTTGGTCAGCTGGCTGGGAAAATCTGCAGAAGAAAGTAAAGCAAAAGGAGGCGGTGAGACACTGACAGGACACAAGAGCACATCTTTTGTACCGCACGCACTGCTGCTCAAATATGTATTTTCTTCTTTTTTTTTTGTTTCTTGTTACTTACTGCTGTGTTGGCTGCGAAAGTACATGCCGCCGGAAATGCGTTCACTGGACGATTAGCTCCGGTCTGCTCACGCCGTATACGGCGTAAAAGTAGTTCCACCCGCCACGCAGGACATACACGGAGAGCGTGCATATCGCCTTCTCACGCAAGGCAGCGGCAAATCGGTTGGCCGCCCTTGGGCCTCGAACCTGCGAAAAAGAGCAGTGAAAGACAATCACAGTCCGACCCTCTTCCTCCAGGGAGGCCGCAAGTTCATGGATGCGTCGCTCCAACTGCGAGCTCGATGGAAAATGAACGGAGCCCACAATAAAGCCTTCGGCACGGTCGTCATCGCGGCAGTCAATGACGGCAACGCTAGCGCACCGCTCCCCGTCATCGAGGAGGGCCACGAGCTCGGATGGGTCCATGTACGTGTAGTTGGCAGGCATCTTCCATATGGCAGTAAAGAGGGTGCGCAAAAAGTTTTTTACGTGGTGCAGACGTATGCAGCTCGCAAAGAGGACGCTGTAACGCTATCTGCAGTTCCCCAACCCCTCGCCGCAAGACCATTAACAAGAACGAAGCACCGGAGGACGGGCACCCCCCCCCACCCCCACCCCCCCCACGCAGAGTCAGAACAGACGAGCAAGAATGACACAAGCCCAAAAACGCCCTCAAATCAGGAGGCACACAAAAGTCCCATCACCAACACGCACATACGCAACTGCAGAAAGACAAAAAAAAAAATAATACAAAAGCACTGAGGGGGCACAACTTTGCTCCCGTTCTCACATGCCCCTCCCCCCTCCCCTCTCCGCTTCTTTTTATTTTTCCTTCTCGTTGTTGTTTTTTGGATGGTTTTCACAGGCAAACAAAAAAAAACACAAGGGGACTATACAATATACGTGTACATATATACCGCTGCGCTGTAAGAAGGGCATTCTTCCCACGGGGGGAAAGAGTGAAGGGCAAAAAAGAAACGCCAAGAAGGTAAAAGAGCAATGCGTAAATTTACAGGCAAAACAAAACGGCAAGCCGCCTCTCGCAGCGGTCACAGAAGATTCATCAGGGGCAACGTGAACGCGCCTCGAGTGGGTGGGAGAAGATGTTGGGCGTCCTCGTCCCCTAACCGACACTGAATTTTCCGCTCCACTGCAACACGCAACCCTGAAAGGTTCACCACGAATGCAGCCGCCACGTCGTACAACATGTCATACGTGCCAAGAAGAATGCGGGATATGGGTTGCTCCTCCAAAACACGAAAGCCCATGTACAGCATCGCGGCAATCTGGGGGTACAACATCAGTAGCATTGGACGAACGTGCTGCGCGTAGTGCGGCACAATGTACGGCTGCGGGACGCAAGCCTCTAAGCGCTGCATGCGGTGTTCACACTCCAGCCGTCGCAGGTGCTGAGTCGCCACATCCACGTATCGCTGTTGATACGACTCGCGTAGTTTGAACCCATCCGGGTCCGTCGTGTACGGCACCACCTCGCTGTTCAGCAGCTTAGAATCCTCGGGCCCGTCGTTGGTTACCCACGCTCCTTTTAAGCGCCCTGTCGCATTCCGCCCTGTAAATGACAATGCCTCCTTCATTGCTGGATCCGCGTCGGACAGGGAGAAATGACCTCCTTGCTGCTGAGCCATCCTGGTAGACAACGAAGGTGTCTTCCTCTCCAGTTCCACCTGCCGCGGTGTGCGTTGCAACTCATCCAGCTCCCACTTTTGCTGCGCCACGCGGTGGTACATGTCCCGCATATCCTGTTCCGCAAAGGGAAACTCAATGCACTCATTCCCGTTCCGCACAAATTCCTCAATGGTCATGCGACTACCCCGCATACTTTCATTGTGAAGACTTGTGTGCAGAAAGAGCAAAACACCTGCCATCACGTTGGCGTCCTTGGCTGTGATAGAGCGCACATTTTGTGCCTCGTAGGCTTCGCCAAAGCGCCGCTGAATCACCGCCCACACCTGAGCCTCAAAAGAAGGCCGATCCCACGACATAAATTCACACGTCGTGTCCCGCAACGCAATGTCTATGGGTACACCCTTGTATGGAAACAAGTGCATGTACTCCTGCAGAATGCGGTCGCAGTCAGGGTCCTTTAGGACTCGCTCAAAAATCGCACACAACGCAGACCGCTCAATCCCTGGATACGTCTTGAGAAAGCGAGCAAATTCAGTCCACTTGTTTGACTCGCCCGTGTGTGAAATGTAACCCTTAAGCTCTAGTAGACGCATCCCTTCGCGCCAATGCCCCTTATTAATCTGCTGCATCGCCTCTTGTGCAATACGCTTGTTATGAAGCAGGTAATGGATGTGCTTCCAGTGGTAGCCTACCTGCTGTTCCTCGCCCCACATCTGCGGTTGCTCCCTTGCGTCGGTGCTTGAGGAGGAGGAGGAGGAAAAAGTTCCTACATCCAATGACAACTTGGACACACCAGTTCTCCGCTCATTTCCGCCCGCCTCCCAAGCTTTGCTTAGGTAAACCTCGTGCCACCGCGTGATGCCTTCACTGCCATTAGTGGATTTGCGGAGCGCCTGCCCCACTGATTCACGCATCTGCCGCTGCACATAGTCGCGGGGATCCTCCGAGACCCACCGCAGCATGGACTGCACCAGGTTGTGCGTGGCATTAGCACACTCGCTGCGCAGCAACTGCTGCTGGTCCAACGAAAGCCAATCTGGCTCAACAAAGTCTGTGTATGTCATCTCCACAATAAAGTCGACTAGAAGCTCGAGCATGCCGCCGTACTTTGCCGCCGCATCAAAGTTTGGATCGCAGTCGTAGTTAATAAAGAAGGAAACACAGAGGTGTGGGATACTCACAAGCTCGTGAACCATACTCAGCACCGCACGCTTCTGCGAGAAATTTGAGAATTTGGATAACGCCAGTGGAAACAGCATCACAGCCAGCAAAGCATGGAGCTCCCTGGCGAGGTGGTAGTGGCACTTCTGCAGTAGTAGTCTGAGAATGCGCACACCCGTGGAGAATAAGGAGGAAGGAACGATGGTCGACAGATTTCTAGCAATGCAACGAAGGATGTCGTACTTCGCTGCAGCCATCACCAACGTCAACCATGCGGCGCAAGGATGTTCGGCATCACAGTTTGCCGGTGGAATCTCTAGAAGCACCGCCTCAAACGTCTCCAGCGCAAGCTGACGAACGCGAACCTCGGGATTCTTCTCGCTCGTCGATCCCGACCCACGGCATGTCCGTGAGGCTAACTTGCAGATATGTCGAATGAGCCACAAGAAATCTTTCAAGGCTATTGGGAGTGTGCCGTCTGCCTGCACCACTGACAAGACGCCTGTCCGGATACTATCATCCAAACTGCTAGAGAACCGCTCTGATTGCCGCAATGAGCCACGGAACGATGAAGTATCCTCGGTTGCATACGACCGCAGTAGGCCAAGCGCCAGGCTGCCGTCTAGAGGGTTCCCTTCATCTTCAAGGGGGGTCGTGGGGTAACCCTCAATCTGAATGGGAGTGAATCTGGCATCTGGCTCCACATCGTGCATGTAATCGTACAGGACAGTGGAAGAGGCAAAGGTCCCGGACTGACGCTCCGAAGGCGGTGTTTCCACAAATGCGCGCGTCACTCGGAGTACACACAGAAGCAGTAAGTCATGAGCAGTACCTCGTGTTCCCTCGTTCGAGCTCTGCAGCGTTAACTGAAAGCATATCCGCATACAACGTGTAATGCAGCCTCCAGTGAAGAAAGTAAATTTGTCGTCACTCACGAGCTCATGGAGGAGCTCGAGGGCCTTAAGCTGCAAAGCCGCGTCGGTGGTGTAGGCAAGGAAGTCCCCCACAGCGAAGAACAAGGCCTCCCCACAGCGCATCGACTGTTTATTTTGCGTAGACTGATAGAGGATGATTGGGGTGTCGTAGAAAATGAGGTCATGGTGAAGCAGTTGCTGCAGCACAGATAAAGCGGCCTCCACCACACGAGTCTTTTTCACGTAAAACGCGCTCAGAAGAACAGAGATGACAGGAGCAGTAACGAACCGGACTCGTCCTTCCTTCGTCAGGCTCTCCACCGACGCCAAGGCACGCTTAGCGGTCTCTCTGAACTCTGTGTCCATCAACACCCCACTGCCATTGGTGTGCCCCATCCTTCTAAGAAACGCGTCTAGCGCCTCCAGAACGGGACTCATTCTTAGTGTGACAGTTGGGGTAATGCGGCACCCGCCTCACCTTCTCCTCCTGTTATGTGTTTGTTTTTTTTCCGTAGTATTCTACCGCCTCGTTTCACCACACATACGCACACACATCGCACCCAAAACAAAGGCAAGGGATAGAAAAGAGGGGCAAGGGCGGCACCAATGCGAAGAAGACAACAATCCTTTAAAATAGACGGATTCAGATGAGAAAAAGAAAAAAAAACGGACAAAGCGTTTTGCTGTACTTCAAACGAATGCACTCAATGCCGTGTCATGTATACATGTCACCATGGCACTGTACCCATCTCCCGTGCAGGTAATAGTAAAGAGGGTGAGAGGCAGTGCACCGCAGCATCATACCCGTGGCCGATAAGAAATGATAATGACAAGAACACTATTACCCGTCTAGTGCCGAGAGAGAGGACCGTACTTTGTGAGCAGCTCCATAGTCTTTGCCCACACCTCCTCCTCAAAAGAGTTGTCCTGTTGGAGGCCCGAGTCATTCCTGCCTAGTGCGGATGGCGTCATTGGTGGATGTGCAGAGGGCGTTGGCGGTAATGATGGCGGCAACGGCGCCGCTTTGGAGTGACTCCTCGACTGCGTGGGTGTCGCGAGGCGCCCGTTAAGCTGCGATGACGCACCCTTCCAGGACGATCCCAGTGAGAGCACGTTTGACATGTAATTAGACGCGTCCAAAATGATGGACTCCGCCGCCTGCACCTGGACACCTTTTGTGACGCGTTCTTTAGTGCGTCGCTCTTCCACGCGACGCGACGCGTCCAACTGCTGCTGGAGCTCTCCGATGTGTGCGTCGCGCCGCCTGACAAGTTCCTCCGCACGCCGCATGACAGCCTCTTCAAACTCGGTGTTGCGGCGCTGGAGACTTGATTTGAGGCGCAGACACGTCGTGGCGTGGTCGGAGCGCTCCTCCTCCAGCTGCCGGCGAAGTGAGTCCGACTCCGCTCGGCTCTCAACAAGCAAGGTGGTATACTCTTCCAATGCTCGCTCATGAATCATGCCCTTCAACTCGTCCCCCTCCGCCCCCGCCACATGAAACGCATGAATTTCGTCACGCAATGTACGAATCTCCGTATCATGCTGCTGTGCCATTCGCAGCCGCCTACTCTCGCTCGCACGCAGATCCTCGCGCAGCTCACGACACACCGTCTCGCGCTCTTTGTGCAAGTAACGCAGTTCCGCTGTACAGTACCCAATGTACTCCGTGACCACCAATGCAAGGTGGCGTGCCAGCACTTCGAAGCCGCGCTGCATCGACTGGCGCACTACCGTCGGGACATCATCGCCAGCCTCCACCCGCAGCAGATCCCCCAGCACCGCATCAGCCGCCTCACCTACCAACACTGCACACTTCTCATTCATCACGGTCATAATACCAGCAGCGGCGGCATCAACCTCTGTTGATGTGGGCGAGTTGGAATTGGTTGCCCGTGTCTCACCAGTGCTGTGGTCGTTGTCGTTGTATCCACCGCTTCTAGTTGCCCGCGTGGGCCCAGACAACGTTGCAAGCGCTGCTGGCAGCATAGACAAATCAACACCCTCTAATGCGATCGCCTTACGAAGATTTTTAAGAGCTAGTTTGGCGTCTTCCGCCTCCTGCTTGTATTTAAGAATGATCAGCTCACTCTGATTGCGATGTGCCTGCACAATAACGTCCACCTGAGCAAGGATCTCATTCACGTACTGTTCTCGCTCCTCTTGGCTTAGGAATTCCCCAAAGACAGCGTGTAAATCATTTGTCGCATGTTGGTGGATCTTGCCCTTCTCGACACCTATTTCAACCGAGTGCTTGTTGCCAACAACAGCGTCCGCAAGTTGTTGATATGACCCCATCATGGTATGTGTTTGCTGCTGCCGCCGCTGCAGCTCTTCCTGCAGCTCAAGTACTTGTTGGCGAAGCTGACGGTTCTGCGTCTCTATCTGCATGATATACTCCGTCATTTCCCTTGGAAGTCGTGCCAACGGGACAGGCCCCGTCAACTTTCCCGTCTTTCTAATCCCCATACCCCTCTCTGCTGGAGAATCCTCACAGCTAACAGGCATCGCAGAACTATCACCAGAGCCCTGTTGCGTCTGTGCACGCGCACGTTGATACGTCAAGAGTTTATCAATTGGATTGGGCCGCCGCGGAGGCTGATCTTCCTCATCAACCACATTCAAATTTACCAGGGGCGTCGCGCCGCCCGTGCCTTTCCTATCGTGCAGGGATCTGGCCCGCTCGTACTCCACCAGACATTTGGGCTGCCGCAACGATAACGCCGGCGTCGCCCGCGTGGTGATGGGCGACGGTTCCCTCGTGCACGGCCCACATGAAGGCGACAGTGGTGTTGGGAGAGGCATTAAAAGGCACGACCGCAGAGCCCCAAGTGCCACAATTCCTGAAGCCCGCGTCCACCAGCCGCAGCAACGGCACACAGTAGCAGCCCCCTCATGCGGCAAAAGCAGGAAAAAAGGAGAAGAAGAAAAAGACGCGGGGAAAAAGAAACAACAAATAAAAGCAGCACAGCAAAGAAACAAAAAAAAAAGGCGGCTGCAATAGGGAAAGAGAGAGAGGCAGCGGCAAAAGAAGAAAAACTCGCTGAGAAGCACCCCACGCAAAGGAGTTGCGGGAGTGGTGGAAAGAAATACGCTTGTTTTCTTTTTGTTGTTTTTTCATGGATTTGCTCGTGGACGGGGAGGGGGGAAGGCAAAACAAAACAAAAAACATGCGTAAGAGAGAAGGAAAAACATGTCAAGAAACAAAACAAAAAAACTGCAGAGAACGTGTGGGATTCCTTAAACACACACACACACACTGCCGAGTAGACCCGCCCTTGTTTTCTTTTTCTTTTTCCTCTCTCCGTCTCTCTCTCGTGTAAATTTGCGTGTGCGTGCTGCTGTTATTTGTTTCCTCCTCTCCCTCTTCGCTTCTCCCCCTTTCCATCCGCAGCTCAGGAAAGACTATGATGCCCTCGCACAGAGACAGTGATGCACGTCAACTCACCATGAATGGCGCTTCCGCAGTCAGCCTGTCACCATTGCACTTAACCTTACCAGCACCCCACACGCACCCATAGCTTTTACATCAGCGTGCAACACTTTGTTGTCATTTGCTTTTCGTCCCTTAGGAGAGGATTAGGCCCCAGAGGCCTCAGTACACCCACCTCGGCACCAACTGAAGTCCCGCCACTCTCAACGCCTTTCCGATCCAAACGAGATATTACTTGTTTTGATTCCTCTACATGGGGAGTTTCAACTGGAACCAGAACTCCACTATTGTTTCGACTCACTGCAGCGTCTTTCCCAGAAGTGATGGGTAAGATTTTCTCTGTGTTAGTGTTTTTTCTGTTACCACCGCCACCCTCATTGCTGTCATCCCTCGGTTTCACGCTACTGCCTGAAAGGGCAGATGCCAGAGTGCGTTTCTGGAATTCCTTCTCCCAATGCGGTGCAGAAGTTAGTTTGGGTGCAGTCCGAGGGGATGCTGTAGCTTTCGGTGCAAGTGTCTCCGGATGGGAATGACCTGCAACAGGGCCTCTCGAAACAGAGGCTCTCGCGTTATGAGCGCCGGGAAGTGGCACTGTCGTCATTGGTTTGGCGTTTATTTTCTCACTCCTCACAACCTCTCTCGGCGAGGATGAGACACTTATGCTTAACTGGCCTGTCCCACTAGCGTTAAGGAAGAGAAAGTCATCCTTTTCTCCCGATGAATAAACCCTAAATGCACCTGCCTCCCCTATGCTGCCCGTAGCTTTGCCAAAACGGCTCTTGGGCTTCAAAGAGGCCGCCACACGCCCTGGGGGTTGCCGCGGTCGTTTTGTTTTATCCCTCGTGTTCCTTAAGGCTTCAAGTTTCTTCGAAGATTGAATTGGACTACTGACACCCTGCAGTCCCAAGCGCACCTCGCGATCTCCACACATCCGCGCCCCAGCTCGCGACGCTGGACCAAGCGCAGCATGGCCCCGCACCGACGAGACTGAGCTTCCGTACTCACAAGACGTCGGTCGATGAGGGCAAAAGGAATGTAAATCCAGACGTTCGTTCCAAGAATGGCCTGTAGTTAAGACCCCAACATTTCGCCTTGCTACCCCCCTAGTACGGTGTTTTGCTGACGCCTTAGAAACTCCCTTCAAAGAGGGAGAGTCGAAGTCTTTGGTGCTTTGAAAGCATGAACTTGTTGCCAGACTATCTGCAAAGTCCAACTCATCTGTTTGCAGTGACTTCCAGTATTCCTCACTCCAGTATTCCTGGTCACTCGTGTCGTGAGCGCCACGCTGCAGCTCCTCCGCAATCGCCTCGGCTCCCTCGCGCTCCGGTGGGCGGAGAAATCTGGAAGAAGTGGCAGTGCCTGAGCTTTCGTGAGTGGTGGCTCGCCACGGGGCGACCTCGGCGGAGAGGGTGATGGTTGGGAGTACGCTGTTCAATTCCGACGTGTGTTCGACAGGAATAGCACCTGCAGCCACTAGATCTACAAGAGTGGGCGGTTGGTAGACGACATGGGGCCTAGACAGGCAAAACTCGCAGAGGTACGGTATCGCGGCAAAGAAGTCAAACTCGGGTCCCATCCGTGCCGGGTCCGCGGTGGGGTAGTAGGCAGCCTCATTGTGGCGATCCGTCATGTGCGAGCAGTGACACGCGTAAGCCGCTGCCGGACTGAAAAAAAGCTGCTTCTCTGCGCCCAGAGATCCCCCAAAGTCCCCGCAAAGCAATAATATATATTATATACGTCTGTATTCCTTCGTGTTTTTTTTTGTATATGCGTTGATCGTCAGTACGACTTCGGTATGATGTAATTGTTATTCCTCTTATTTGTTCCTTTTGCTACTCTGCTTCCCAGTTCCTTCGCCAGGGTGAGGCAACGTGGGCTGCGTTGTCGCCCCGCCAAAGGTGGGGTTACGTGTACGTGGGTGCGTGCGCGCCGCCACCACCCGTTCCCAACGCCACGCACCAGGACCTCACCTCACTAGCGCCGCAGGCCAATATTTCTCCAGAACCACCACAGGGATGCATGAAAGGGGAAAAGCAAAAAAAAAAATGGGTAGAAACACTAAATAGTACAATGACGCAGCGACGTTGCCGCTGCAGATTAGCGTCTCTGTGCCGCGTGGTGGGAGTAGAGGCATACGCGGGTGACAGGGGCGGAGAAGGGAAAGTTTCCCCAACGCCTCTGTCACGCTGCGCATCAAGCGGTGTAAAATTTTTAAAAAGATGGTGGGGACAAGGAGAGTAGTACCTTGCAGCGTTGACGTCTACCGCGCATGCCGAGTAACGTGCACAGATGCAAATGTAAAGAGATGCGCCAGAGGGAAAGAGGGAGAGGAGGTCGTAAAAATGTGCCTCCTTTATGGATGCAGCGGGGGTAAAGCAAGAGTTCTTCCGCCCGGTTCATTTGAAATTATTTTTGACTTTTTTTTTTGTTTCTTCCGCATCCTCCGCCCCCCACGGTTTTAGTTGAACGTATCTCTCCCTTTTTCCATCCCTCTCTTTTATTTTTGCATGTTTGCATTTGAGCCGTGTCGGTTCTATTAGGTCTCCCTCCGCGTTCTCCCCATACATTTTTCTTCTTTGATTTCTCCTTCTCCTCACACACACGCACCCATATACACCCATACACACACGCAGGAGGGGGGGAGGGGGGGTGCGATGTGTGGAGGTATGCCGCGTTTTCGCGTTCCCCCACGTCTTCCTCAACGTCTCAACGCTCCCTCGCTTCAACGCGTCTCGCTGGTCACACCCCGCCAGCTGCGACGTCACCTATGCGCCTTGTCGTGGTACGTGCACGGTCGCTCCCGCCCGCAGGGCTTTTTGCTGCGCTTGAGAATGACCTCGCAGTATAGCCGCTCGCGCTCCTGCGATGCGGCGACAGTGGCGACACGCGGTGGCAGCGTTGCCGATGACGCACACACCAGGCTTCCACTCTCCGCCCCAACTCGCATCGACATAGACGACTCTGAGGCCAGCCGCTGCTGCTGCTGCTGCTGCTGTGGTGTGACGCCGCTGTCACGACAGGAGATTCCACGTACCCCGTCGTAAACAATGCCCAGCGAGGCCGCTGGGGTAGGTGTAAATGTTATCGCATTCAAATCTCGCTGAAGACTGCCACTAACGGCGTCTAGTGGTCTCTCATCACGTCGCCAAGCTGAAATGTGGGCCGTCGTGCGGACAACGTCCTCCTCAAGCTCCTGCTCCTCGCTCTTCAATGGGCCTCCAGAGACCGCAGAGGAGTGAAGCGGAAGCGACTGTAGCATCTGATGCGAATGTGGATACTGGGCATTGTAGGCTCCAGGAACGGTCAGACGCCCAGGCTCGCCGCTCTCAAGGTTCTGGCGAAGACCGTAGGAATTGTTGCCGTTTGGCATAAGGCTGCGCAAATGCAGCGCAATCACCTGCACCCGCTGAGCATGTATTGAGTGGCACACCGCGACCCTCTCGCACATCTTCAGTGCATCAGCGTAACGGCGCATGAGGATGTAAAAGTCGATCAGCAGCACGTTCGAGAGAGAGGCGTTTGGGCAACGCCGGAAAATAGACTCAACAACACTCTCCTCCGGCGACTGTGGTGCAATAAGTCCACTCAGCAGCTTCACACTCTCAGTCTGCAGCGCAGCCATGCCGAGAGCGTGGGTCGCGGCATTCCTCCAGACAGTGTCACGGGACCGACGGTACAACGCCTCCAGCACCTTGGCGTTACCCCGCCGGTATGCCAAAAAGAGAAGTTTCACCGCCACCGAGGGGTCCATCACCCCCACGCTGGAAAGGGCAAGCACAGGACCTGTCAGCTGGAACACCAACTCGTATGTCCCACTGTACGTAAGTCCGTTAATGAGGCCAGGAACGAGGTCCAACAGAGGCGGGCACCCAGCACCATACGCCGCGCCAACCTCCGTGAGATTCAAGTGGTGATCCGCCGCAAAAGCCAAGTAGGCCCAGACATCCACACTGAGCGGCAGACAAAAGCTGTCAAGAAATTCCCCCCTAACTGAGTCAACATGGGGAGACTCGTAACGCACCGCCGTTGACGTCTTTTCCTCCATGTGTTGCTGCTCCTTTTGTTGCCCTGCATGGGTACAGTACAGCACAAGAAGAGCCACTGCTGGTTCCACCGCTGTCATCTGTTGAACCACGCTCCGCAAAGAACAGAGATCCGAGCACCGCATATGTGCGAGTATCGCATCAATGCACATAGCTGGTGCCGCGTCAGGTGATCCCCACAGGCTCAGTGCCTCCATGTTCCACACGGGCGCCAAATCCATCTCCCGCTCAAACTGAGCGCGCAACTCCGCCTGAAATGCACCAGCAGCGCAACGTGCCTCTTCTAGCCCAAGTGCCTCACGAAGTGGCTCATCAAGTCTATCAGTAAACCCTGTAGCGTACAAAAGTCGATAAACAGACAGGCGAATGTACACAATGTGGAGTCGTTTAATAAGATGCATAGAGACGCTTTGATACGGTTGCATCTCCTTGTTAAGCTCACGTTCTCGATGCAGAGTGGCCACCAAACTGTCCTGTATATCAAGCAGCTGAGAAAGCGCCCTCTTTGTGGTGTGAAGATCCAAGACATTGGCAGCCGTCGACTCAAGCTCCTGCACACTGGACTCGCATTTCTCTCGCAACCCCGCAAGCCTGTCTGGCGCGGCACGAACGACTTGGTGACTCAGCAGGCGAGGCTGGGAGTCCCCAAAAAGAAGGATACTGGAGTTCTGCCTCAGCGACATCACACTCAGAGGAGATCCACCTACTTCACTTTGCACAAGCAACTCATACGCGCACTGCTTAAATGAGAAACTGTGAACGTGGCCACTCCACAACAGCGTGCTATGCACCCACCCTTTGGCCGGGGTTGGTCGTTGGTAGGGCCCGCTAAGGCCATGAACCGCCAAGGCTCTAAAATGAACCGCTGTCGTCGTTTGAAAAAGAATATGAACCCCGCATGTGCGGTTCTCACCTGCCATGAATACCCTCACTGGCGCCACCGCGTCCTCTGGGGGACACAACTGTTCGCTGATAAACTGCACCGGGGCGGCCTCCTCTCCCGAAACAGGCTGCGGAAACCAATAACTGTACAACGTGAAGTCGTCGCAGAGCACCCACAACATCGACCCACACGCAAAAACAGCCTCCGTGGGAACCGCAGTTGAGGAGAGCTGCAGGATGTGAAGAAGAAACCCCTCCACGCGTCCGTCGCCCGGCTTGCGCACCTCAAGCAACGCCACGCTGCCGTCATCCAGAAGCACAAGCACCTCCAAAGGATGACGACCACGGGCTACCCGCACCACACTGGCACTCCCAAAGCTCCATACGGTATACACCGTGCACTTTTCGCCGTCACGCACGCATGCAAATAATTCCGCCGTACCAAGCGCATAAATGGAAACGTCTTGAGAAGCCACACGAAGACAAACCACACTATGCCGTGACACCTCCTCACTGTTCTTCACAGGAGGCAACTCATGCAGCGCTAAGACCTGTGAACCAGAGATGAAGGCAAGCGTTGTCCTCCGGCCCCGGCCTGACCCACAGCTGGTGCAGCAGACTACCACATTTGCCGTATTGCCCGCCGCATCTACCACGTCCCCAACCTCGTCATTGAGTTTTACGTCCGCTAGTACGATACCGCTGGCCGAAAGCAGAAGCACCCTTCTGCCACGAGTATTACAGCGTCGTTTTCGCCCTGTAGAAATGGCCAACACATTGCCACCAGAAAAAGACCCCCAATCAACGGGGGTCGTGGTGATGCGCCGCAGTTCTGTCATTTTAAGGCAATTCTATCAAGCCACTCGCCCACACCCGTCCGCCCTCTCCCTTATGTCTTTTCTGTTAATTATCTTTACCTCTATTTCGCTTATCCTTCTTCACCACGCTCCTACTTGCAAGTCACGAGTGAATGTTGGTGACACGTTCCTTCCTTTCCCCAGCTCACTGCGTGGGCGTGTGTGTGTATGAACTTCCCTTCGGCTGCAGATACCAGTAAAAAGGAACAGCAAAGCGGTGGGTGCTAAGTCAATCGTCTTTATTTTCTTCGTTCTTCCCGGCAAACAAGAGAAAAAAGAAAATGCGTCCCAATGGGCATTCACTCTCATTGGCTTGTCGCTCCAGATACACTAAGGCGAAGAGCAGCAGCAAACTACACGTAAAGAAACAAAAAAAAAGAGTCACAGGAAAGGAGCGGCTCACGCGTGCCGGGAGGGCCATGCGTCGGCCAGTCGCAAAAAAAGACGCCCACACAGTTGCGCGTCGTGCAGCGCATCGTGTCGATCGTCCCTCCTCGATGCGTCAATGCCGCAGAACTGGCAGCCACGAGTCAGGTCGGCCGCCTGGTAAGGGTACAGCGCACGAAACATCGACTGCGTGCAGGTGAGAGGAGAGTCGTTGTCCCACAGCACCCGCCAGCCAACGGCCGAGGCCGCCCTCTGCAGAAAGGAGGCATCGAAATTCGCGTTGTGGGCAATGACGGGCGGCAGCGTGAGTGTACTACCCGCTCTCGATGCCGCCGTGCAACACCTCGTGACGGCCAAATCGTCACGCCGGACGCTATGCTCGTCCACGCCCAGCTCCGCCGAATGCAAACCGCCATCAAGCTGGGCGAGAAACAAGGCAAGGTCCGAAAGAATGTCGCTAAGTGGTGGGGCACCACGCAGCATCTGCTGTGAAAGGCCATGCACTGCCTCCGCCCAAGGATTGCTGGGCTTGGACGGCCGCACGAGGCGAAAGAACGACCGAGTACCTAATATCCACCGATGCAGCGTCGTCCCATCCCAACGCAGCTCCACCACACCGATGGAGACTATATCGTCGTGCTGCACAGAAAACCCCGTGGTCTCCAGGTCAATACACACCGCACTCACAAACGCAGGCGGACGTGGATGAAGAAGCGTGCGACGCAGCAATGCAGGTTCCCCACGCAAGGGTTTCGCGGGCCGTACATACCTAGAGCCGTGACAGACGTGGCTAACCCCCAATACAGGCGGCTGACTCTCAGATGAGTTTGCACTCGGCTCTGCCCGCGCTGGCCCCGCATCAGCGAGGGCGTGACGCCACGCTGGTGGAAGCGGCAGCACCACCTCGTTGCAGGCGGCGGCCGCAGTGCGAGTGCGTTTACGACCACGTAAAAACAGTGAATCAACCGTGTTTCACCTCGGGCATAGTAAACCCAAAGATGGAGAGAGAGAGAGAAGGAAAGAAAGAAAGAAAGAGAGGAAGGGAGATGAAAGGCATAAGCATCCCAAATAACTATTTGCCCACACCCGTGCACATGTGACCATACGCGTAGGCGCACATAAACATAAAACAAAGAGGCAGTGAGACACACACACACACACTTGCAGGTACAAAGTTTGTTGTTGTTGTTTTTTTTTTTCTTGGCCGTCCATATAGCAAAAATACAGAGAAGTAAGCACAGTGTGAAAGGGAACACGCAGCAAGTCATCGCCATACTTGCGACTGCAAATAACAAAGCTAGTGCGTCATACCCCAACAGCACACGTCCCCTCATATCTGCTATACGCCCTTCAAATTCTTAAAAAAAAAAAAATTTTTAATTCTCACTCCACACCCCTTCTATTTCATGTATGGTATTGTTGTTTTTCTCATCTCGCTCTTTGTCTGTTTCCTTTTTTTTTCCCTCCTCTCTTATTTTGTCTCAGTCATCTCTCGTACCCCACCACTTACGCCGCGGAATTCTTGCTACGCATGCTGCCATCTGCCCCACCCCACGGAGGCGGTGCCCTTCACCAGAAGGGCAAGGACCTCTTCAATTCGAATGTAGTGCGTCAACCAACGGACATCACCGCCAGCAGTCGCCCCGTTTGCCCATACACGGCGTCAATTTCTTTGTCTGATTATGTTCTTTCTTCGTTTTTTACTTACTTCATGTTTTGTCCTCCCACCCTCTCCACTTCGTCCGCTTCCGGGAATTCCCTCCTCCCTCCCCCACCCCGCCACGGTCCGCGTGCGCCTTTTCAACCAGCGCAGCCCCCACTGCGTGCCTACAAGATGGTTTCCAGCCGCTTCTTCCAGAACTGTGCCTCGAACAGACGTGCGCTCTGCCCACAGACGCCGATGATCGCCATCCACTGCAGCGTCTTGCAGGCGGAAAAGAGCAGGCACAGCATGTCGAGAGCAACGAATACGAGGATAGCCGAGGTCGGCGTGCCCCCCCGCTTTCTCCCGAACCACAGCAGCAGGAGCAGAGAGACGTGTGAGGGGATAACCGGCATCGCGTAAAAGACAGACCACAGGCACTGCACAACACCGCCCAACACCGTCTGAGTAGAGACATACGCGTCGTAGAGAAAGCACAGCCACAGCACGCTGAGGATGTAAACTAGGACGGGGAAGTAGCGGAAGTGCCCTCGTTCCAGGCCAATGAAGAGGACACCGTCGTCTGCTAGAAGAAGAAGAAAGAGGGAGGTCGCGACGTGCAGCCCAGGCTCGTTGCCGTTGCTCCAAACGTTGTGCGTTGTCAAGGCGGAAACGGCAATGATGGTCGTGTAGTTCACCAGAAGCGCCACTTGCTCAATCACCTCCACGGTGAGTGGCAGCGCCGCAGGCACAAGTGGTTTGCCGCACACCCTAAACTTCAGTACAATGGCCATAAAAAGGCTTGTGACGCCTGCCACAGAAAGTTGTCGTCTGCGTCCGGTGGTATAAATCTCCCACATCAAGAGCGGGCTGCCACCCGTGTACTCCCGCACGTTCGCGCCTCCCATTACAACCAACGAAAAGACCATAAAACAGACGGAGACACCATACACAATCCACCCCTCGTTGGAGGACATATTGCGGTAGTGCGCCACGTCCAGCGTCAGTAAGGAGAAGTACACAAAACCGCAGGTGCCAGCAAAGAGAAACATCGTCGGCGCCGGAAGGACGTACATGGCGAGCCCAACAGAAAGCAAAACGGTGGTGACAAGCCAATATAAGGCACGAAGTATAAAATGCAAGGAAGACATCGGAATAAGTCGTCCCGCAACGAGAAGCATCGTGCCTGCGACGGAGCAGTACCTACTCACATCCTCATTGACAAAGTCGAACTCAACTTCGCCAGAGTGTTCCGTAATTCGTGTGGGCTGTGCAATGAGGAGAATAATGCCTACCGCAAACGCTCCACGTGCCAGGGTTCGTAGGGGATACATGAATGTGTGTAAGTCCGCATGTCGAGCGAAAAATGGGTGTGTGACAAGGCCAAAAAAGAGAAACGAGGTCCCTAAAATGATGTGCACGCTGTTCGAGTCGGCAAGGCGGATCTGCGTGAAAAACTCAAAAACGGCGCGCTGGAAATTTCGTGCCGTACTTGCTGTCATTGTCAAGGCACTAACGACAAATAACGCCGTGAGGTGTCTGGCGTAGTTATTCTTCAGATGTCGCCCGCGTTTGAGCTCAAATACCACAACAGCAAAACCTGCGAAGAGCGTTGACCACCAGGCAAGTCCAATCTCAATTGCGTGGTAATGCCGCTTGTCAGACTCCGCAGACTCCGCGAGGTAATATGAGCCCGTCACCTCCACCACAAATGTCAGAAGCTTTGCGATGTAGGACGCCGCAATAAGGGCCGCCTCGTGGATTCCAAGTGTTTCATTTGTATACAGCCGCGAGGACAACAAAACACCAATGGCACTTGTAAATGGCACCAGCACCGCTGGGTAGACATTCTCCTCCTTCTGCGAGTACAACACATGTTCCACCCACGCCACCTGCAGCGAATGGGCAAAGAGAGCCACGACAAAGGGAACTTTGTTCGTGGAGAAGGACATGGTAAACGCGACGCAGCTCAGCACGTAGCACCACAGCACACTCATCGCCACCAGTGGTGTTGGAACAGTGGTGGACTCCCCAAGTACATGCAGGTCCACAACAATGAAAGAAAACATGCGGTACATCCACCAAAGAAGTAGTAAACTTGAAAATATGGTAAATGACACCATTGGCCCAACGTTGTTGCGATCTAGTAGGAAAAGGTTGATGGACGACACACAGAGCACCATGAACATCATGAAAATTCCAGGCAACCCTGCACTTACTGCTACAAAAATACATGACGCTGCAGCTGATACAACTGAAAGTACTCGTCGATGCAAATATTGGGCAGAAAGTGTGTCCTTCCCCCGCTTGTCAGCATCCAGTAATATCTTTACTTGGTACGCCGCGTACAATCCCAAGTACATAGCAATGGCCAAACAGATACCGTTAAACGGTGGCGGCACTCCACTGAAGAGAAATCTGAACCGGGAATGAAGCAGACGATAGATGGCCCAGTGCAAACCTACTGTCATGCTTAAGATAAGAAATGGGTTACGGTACTTTCTGACCGCCTCGTGTACCCCAAGAGGGTCACACCCAAGTCGATGGCGTAGCGTCTGCCTATCTGGTAGCAAAAACCACAGGCTACGATTCGAATCAAAGCAAATGTAAGCAACTGGCCCGCAAACCATACCAAATGCATTGAGAGTGTTTGGCAGCCATGCATCGATGAAGTTGCTCTGTAAAATAATGTAGAGCAAGGAAGGAAGGCTTACCAAAAGCGACGTAAAAATTATCGCTTCAGCTCGTCCATTTGCCTGAAGTGATTTTACTTCTTCCGTTATTCCCTCTTCAGAAACGATATCCCCATTCTCACTCGCTCCTCGAACCAAACGTCGACGCATGAGAAAGCTACTCTCCAACGGACCGTAGAAGAAGTGATGAAGCACACACATGGCCGTCATAAACCACGCAGGAGCGTGCCGGGACCCAACCAAAGCCGTGATGGTCGAGAACAAGGAGGGCAACGTCAGAATTGGCGTCACCCCAAGTACACAACGCTCCATTAAACATATAAGCTCTGGGAAATAAAGCTGCATCCAATAAAAGTGCAAAAATGCAGTCATGGCTGCCATTAGGAGCAGTCCTAACAAACTTAAAATCATGCATAAAGGCCCCACACTAGAAATGGAAGCATGCAAGTTGGACAAAAACAGTGCCACTGCGAATAAACCTGTCGTACCTATAATTGCTAGCACGCAACCACGTCTGTATCCCGCAAAATCCGCTGCATACGTCACAATACACCCTGTCAAAAGTACCGTTAGCGCGAACGGAGACATTAGTGGAATGGCGCCAAAGAGACCCACCGCCAACAGCAAGATTACGCGCCCGACAAATTTGGGTAGCCCCGTCACAAACTCCAGGGAACCCTCGTTCTCTTCCCCCTCGTCCCCAGTCGCCCCCCCGAGTATAAAATCAGATTCCATTCTTGCCGTCTGCTTCTTTGACTCACGACGTACCTGTTCCTGAATCCAGTGCTCTGCGGTGGTTTGTATGGCCTCGTTTGCGTATTCCTCACGTCGAGCATGCGCCTCTTGAACGAAAATGGGCGTCTCGGAAGGATTTTGCTCAGCAACATACTGAAAACTATTTCCTGCAGAATGCTGCCTACCTTGTGTGGAGTCGTTGCCTCCAGGTGGCAGCGGAAAGGTTGGGAACGTTGGTGGTCCCCCAGCTGTGCCTTCACTAGATTGCATATCGGTGCCAGAAAAATATCTACACAACACACACACGGACGCACCCTCCCACTTAGAGCCACGCTAAGGATCTAAAAAATCCTCAACCACTTCTCTTACCCGCACCTCCTTCCTCACTATCCTTCTGTCTTATTCTTCGTTATGGGTTGCACCTTTTATCCCACCACCGGCAGCAGCGGGGATGGGAAAGAAAAGGCGACTCTGATCACGCTTCACTGAAGACTAGAAGAACAGAAAACAAGAGGAGAGACTAGATGACAGCCGCACAAAAGAAGTAAAAAGCCACAAAAAAAAAAGGTGCACAGCAAACCCGACCAAAGAGAAACCAGAAAAGAAGAGAAACGACCGAAAACGTTCTTCTCACTTTTGTCTCATCTTTGTTTGTTTCGTTTTTCAATATTTTTTTTCTTTCTGTTTGTTTGTTTTTTATTCTCCTCATTTTTTTTTTTTTTCATGCCTCGCTCCAGCACTGCTGTGCCGCTTACTCGATCTCCAGTGGACTTTTGTAAGTACTCCACACGGACTGCGCCTCTGTGTGCACGCAGGGTAAAACTTGCCTCCCATCCCCACCCACCCCACCAATCCTCAGTTTTGGCTCACTTCCCCACACGGGGTTTGACGCTGACGACGAATCTCCCGCATGCGCTGGAGTTTTTGAATGGCATTGATGTCCTCAATCGCAAAGGAAACCATCAGGCGTCGGCCGTCCCCAAAGAGAGTGGGGTTGTTGTTAATCGTGCGTAGGGCGTGCAGGGCTATTGGGTGGTTGACAAACTCAATGAAGGCGTACCCCTTTGAGGTACCCGCAGAGTCCCTCACCAACTTAATGTTTTTGATCGGACCGTACTTCCCCCACTTTTCCTTGTCAATGAACTGCTTGTTCGCCTTCAGGAAGGAGCGCACTTGGGTGACAAACATGGCCCGAAACTCCTTCTCGGACATCGTACGTGGCAGATTGCGCACATTCAGGCGGGTTGTACTGACAAACATATTGCTGTTGCGTAGCTGATTCTTGCGGGCCTCGTAGTCCTGTTGAATCATGGCAAGGTACTGTGGATGCAGGCCACGCGCAGCGGGAGTGTCGGGAAGAATAAGTCCCTCACGCAGCAGGTACAAGTGGCGTGGATCATCGGCAGCCACTTTTGTCCGTTTTTGCTTTTTCTGCAGCGCTGCGGAGGCCTCATGCGAGTCGCTTCTTGACAGCACGCGGTGCACCGTGAAGCGTGTATCCCGGAGTGTCAAAAATGGATCGTGTGACACAAACGCGTCGGTGCGAAGTTTGAATCGCATGCGCTTCGCCTGGCAGTGCGAGAGGTCCGTCGTCTTCTCCTTCCAGTCCGCACGGTCGACGGCGGCAATTTCACGGGCATTCTGCTGTGCGTGCTCAAAGATCTTGTCGGCCAACTCGACGGAGCCGCAGTGGACAAACCCCGTTCCTGCCAGGGTCTTGGTCGCCATGTTGCGCACAAGCAGCACACGGCGCACCTGCCCAAAGCGGGACACAAAAAACTTCAACAGCTCCTCATCGGTGGTGTCTAACGGCAGCCGCTTGAGAAACAGCTGCGTCTCAAGCGGGTCTCGCTGGTTCAGGCGATCCTGCTTCTCCTCATCGACATCACTCTGCACCTCACCCCCCTCGTCGGTGCCCACAGCGGCATCGCCGTCGCCGTCTTCGTTGCGTGATCGCTTCCGTTTATTTTTCCCAAAGGGCCCCTTTTTATTCCCGTCACTGTTGGAGTCAGCGTACGCCTTCGCTATGGCGGCCTTCCAATTTGGCCGTTTCTTCTCCTGTTTGCGCCGCAGCTGCTTTCGAATGCGCTGATGCGCCTTTTTCTTTCGAAGGGCAGAGGGTGTGGGCTTCCGCCGCACTACGCCCGTCCCCATCTCTGCGCACGAACTGAACGAAGCAGGGAAAGGGGGGTCGCCAAGAAGGCATAAAGGAGATAAAAAAAAAAAAAGTAAGCAGAAAAGGAGTGTCCGTACAAATGAAGGGAGACGCGAGAGTGTAAAAACAGCACGGGCACTAACAAAAAAACAGGGCGGAGACGTCCGCATATCCATCTATTGTCACATTGAAATGGTCACCTCTCTCCCCCCAGACACACACACACACACACCGGCAGAGAAAAACACAAAAGAAAAAAGATGCATGCACACAGACATCTTTGCAGTGTCATCGTGAAGTGTTTCCGTCTGTAATGTGAGTTGGTTTATTTCTCCTCCTCGGGGAGCAAATAAGAAAACAAAAAAAAAAGATGGCACCAAGACAAAGAAATGGAGACGTCACATCTCCGCCAGACGGGACAACTTCTGAATGCGATTCAGCAACAGATCGCCATTCTTGACGATGCGATGGTAATCAAAGTTCGTCGTGTCGCCCCGATACGTGGTGATGCTATCAGAGACGCGATCCATCTTGCACGCAATACGCTCATTTGAGATGAGGGTCCCCAGCATGCTATCCAGCACCATTGGAGGAATACCAAAGGCGGCGCTCATTGAATTCAAAGTCACACTGCTATAGGAGTCAAGAAACTGCGTGAAGACCAATACCCGCACCTCGCGAAAGAAGTAATTCACGTGCTGGGAGAGGTACACCAGGCCGCGTAGCTGGTGGCAAACGGTGTCGAGTGCGGGGAACACATCCTTGTACCGACAGTTGTAGATGACTGTAATGAGGTGAAAAACATCCTTGATGTCAGCGCTCCGTACCTCTGGGCTATCTACAATCTGCTGCTTTAACTCGGAGCGGCTCAGCACCGTCAGACTCGCAATAACCGTAATTAGGATAAACTCGTTGAAGTTCATCAGTTCACTGGCGGCAAAGGTGGAAATGGAGTCCAGCAGCAGCTCAGAGCCGCGCTTAAAGTCACGGATAAAAACGTAGTAGATGCCCTCGTACACCTTGAGGCGGTTGCGTCGCTCCCAGTCGCCATCCTTCATCAGCCGGTGCGCATCACGAATACCGTTAGCGGCAATTTCATTGTCGGAAAATGCGATTCCTAACAGAATACGCTGAAAGCATAAATCCAGCTTTGGGCCAGCAGCCAGCGTCTTCCCAGAGCACTCGATGTTAAACTTAAGGCACTCCTGCAAATCGCCAATGCGAGCAAAGTGATCGCATTTGGCGAGAAGACCCTCACGTACCTCCACATCACCAAGGTTTTCCTGCGCATCCTTGATGCGTGCGTCCAACTCCTCCAGTTTCTTTGCATTGGCAGCATCCATTTCCTGCATTAGAGCTTCGTCCAGCGCCCAGGCAAAGGATTCGCAGATAAAGCGAAGGTATGGCGCCATGTTGTGGTCATACGCCTCTCGTAGTATGGCTGCCTTTGCCTCTTCACGTTTGGACTCATCCACGTACTGCGAGGTGTAGGTGTGACGCAGGTGTAGCAACGAAATAAGCGGGCTCATCGGTACAGACTCCTCAAGCTGCAGCTCTTCCTCCTCTTCATCGTCCCTGGTTGCTGCTACCTTCGTTGGAAGAGGCATGGACGTTGTTGTTACGAATGCTCTGCTGTGTTGGTTCCCTTTGTCCAGTTGTTGTTGCTGTCGTTTTATTTGCTGTCGTTCGTTCAGGAGCAAACAGAACCAGTGGCGTTGATGGTTGGCAGAAGCTATTTACGCTGCAAGGTATAAGTACGATCTGTCATGCGTGGTGGAGGAATAAAAAAAAAGAACAAGAGGTGATGGGGTGTTGGGTGAGGGAGACGCATGCATCCCAGCCATCACACAGCGTGGCGAAAGTGACGAGTAGCGGCAGTGGGAGTGGACGCCGGGCCCACGTGTGTGCAGTGCATGAGTCAGACACGATATGGCAGTAAGCGACGGTGAAAGGGTAAGGGGGAGAGACAAAAAAATAATAATAATAACAATAATAATAATGACATAAAAACCATAACACAAGATATGTACTTGGGGAAAGGGGAATATAAAGCACTACGGTGCTGTACAATTAGCGACAGCGGAAGGGGCTTACTTCTCCCTCCCTCCCTTCCTATGTCAATTCTTTCTTTTCCTTCCTTTAGTTGGAATCCGTTGCATGTGTGATATCAAGAAACACAAGGAGGAAAAGTGCTGAGGAAGCGAGACGCTTGCACGCCTCGTTCCCTGACGGCGTCACACCCCCGGTCGCGAAGTCCCTCGCCGCAACCGTCAGTAATACATGCAGCTCCGCAGTATGGTGTCCGTCTGCGCGTCCAGCAAGGCCCATGCGTTGGTGAACTCCTGCATGTCATTCTGGGCGGTGCAAAAGTCCCCCTCCTCATCGTGGCCGCTGTGCGCATCACCGCTGCCGTCAGCGGTGAGGGTGATGCCGCAGCCCATCCCGCAACGCCGATATGAGTCACCGCAGGAGTACTCCGGAAACTCGGGCGCCGACACGCTTAGCGCGTACCGCTCCACACTGCTCCGAGAGGGCCTCGGGGCACTCGTCAACGTTACCGCGGAAAGGGGCTCGCGTACGTTACGGATGAACTCCGCGTCGTGTAGCGCCGCCTGCGATCGCAGAAGCCCCAACTCTGTGTACGTTCGGGCCTCGGCATTCGCCACCAGAGCATCGGAGTCAACGATACGCCAATGCACGGAATCGTCACCGATCGATAATGCATCAAAACTGCCATCCAGGTTTGGGTGAAAACTACACTCGGCCGCCACCTTCTCCTCCATAGCCAGACGCGCGCTCTGCATGCGCTGATTGCGCTGCTCAACCCAATTCTCTGAACGGGCCAACACGCGCTGAAAACACGCGTCAGACGACTTTGGTGAACAGGAGGAGAGGGCCTCCGACGACTGCAATGGTCGTTTCGGCAAAGGTCTTTCATATATAGGCTGCCAAAGCTTTCGAGAAATTATACTTCTTGTGCGTGCGCATATTTTTGGGCGAAATGCCTTTTCGGAGATGACTGCGTCCTCAGCACAACGTTGGCGCCGCTTCGTCTCGTCCAGTAGATCGGCTACCACCTCGTCAGGCCCACGCGGACGCTGCTTCCCCTCACTTCTCTGACGCTCCTCACGGAAATACCGTGCCAGTATGTACTCCTGGCGCCGGAGCCGTAATTCTCTCAGTAGCTCCCGCCGTTCTTTCCTGTCAAGTTCATTAAAGCTGACACGGACGCCTTTCTTCAACATGGTTGGCAGAGCATTTGGCTCAAAAAGGGGCTGGTCTGCCTTCGCCCCATACTCCTGCTCCCTCGTCTTGCCAGCGTAGTAGGTGCGCAGCCGCTCAAGTCTTTGCTCGCGACGCACCTTGTCTGCTTCAACGCGCTGGAGGTACGCCCGAAGCAGACTGCGCCCGTCTCGTTCACACTTCTCACTCGTCCTTGTTGTGTCCGCCACGTCACCCGCACCAACGTGTTGCAGCCTGCTGAGTGTCTCGTCGGCAGACGCACGGGTCACCGGGTGAAAATAAGGCGTCTCCAACGCATCCGACTCGAGATGCTCAGCGGCATCCGCTGCAGTGGCAGTGGAACAGTTTGGATTTTTAGGCTCCCACAACTTGCGCCGCCTCTTGCCCTTCTTTTTGAGCTCCTCGAGTAATTTCCGACTGCGCTCACCCATTTTCCACGGTGTTAACCACTCGTCCTCTCCGCGGTTAATGCGATCCTGCACAGCCTTCTTTTCCAGCCGCAACGCTGTCATCTTTTTCCACACCAGGCACTTCTCCATAAAAGTCGCCAGCCCCTTGGGGACAACCTCCTTCGCGAAATCTGATATCGCTGGTTTGAAGGTGCACTCCCGCATCTCTGCCTCCTCCTGCTGCCGCTGCTGCTCCTCCCGCCACTTCACACTGCTCTGCCGCTGTTGCATCCCCTCCTCGTACAGTAGATTGCCGCGCGCGAAAGTCTGGATCGGCTCGCCGGCCAGTTCCACCAGTTGCAGGAGGCTGTTCACTGCCCTCACTGGGGCCTCCGCCATGGCAGCGTAGTACAAGAGCGTCAGCGCCGGTGGAAGGTTCAGCTCCTCCATGGCGGCGTCATGAAACACGGTGACCTCCTCAGATATTGTCACACGCTTGCTGGCAAACTCCTGGGACTTCCCCGGGGAGGGAAGCGTGGTGCTTCCCACCTGCTCGAGTAACTCCGCCGTGCTGCGGGTGTTGTCGAGAAGGAGGCGGTACACGTCGCGGAGCATCGTCTGGTCATCAACGCGTATCACCTGCGGGGAGTTGTCGTTCTGCATACCTGCCGTTGTTATCTCGTCTTCACTAGTGGTCCCGTAAAGCAAAAACGCATAAAGAATAGTAAGGGTCAAACCTCGATGCTAACAAAAGCACGAGACATTGAAACCAAAACAAAAACAAAAGCAGTAAAAAGGAAGAAGCAGCTGTCATTTGAAAGAAACCTCACATTTAACCGTGTACACTGTTACCTCCCGTCCTGTTCGAGTTCACTTCGAAAAAGAGACTTCCGCTTCGGCGCAGTGGCAGTCGGCGCAGGAGACGGTACGACAGCCACGTCGTGCTCCACCACATCTCTCATGACGTGACAACAGGTAAGGGGACGCTCCACCGTACCGCCTTCATGGGACAAGCTCATGGTGGTGGTGGCGCCCTCCAGTGAAATGACGTCCACCACATCATTGAATTTGACGCGTCGCTGCAAAGAAATCGCGGGGTCCGTCGTTCTGGGTTTGTCCCCTGTGGTTATTTCACTTACCACGACGGCGGCGGTACAACCAATATCGCCCGGTGTGCTGAAAGCAGGGGTGGCCGCTGCCACGGTCTGCTGAGGATGGGGCAGCTCCTGATCTTCTCCCCGCTGTGGTGACTCTCGCACACGCCCCTTCTGCAGCTCTGCACGAACGCGCCTCTCCTTCTTTGCGATAATTCTCTCCGTCATAACACGTTCAACCAGCTCATCGTCCTCAACTCGGTCCCCCAACTCCCGCTCAATCTCCAGAAGCTCCTCTTCGGTCAGCTGATCAAGCTCATCGAGTACCGCTAAGTCCTCATCTTTCAGACCCAGCTGCAGCGGCGCCTCGTTTGTTTCCCCCGCGCCCTCCTCAGCTCGCTGCAGGGCGGCGGCAACAGCGGTGGCCGGAAGTGTCGTCCTGCGATCGCCTCCCCTTCTGCTGTGCAAGGCGTCCTCCTTCAACGCCTCCACCTCCAACGTCGCCCGCTCCGCGTTGGGGATCTCTGAAAGGAACAGGCTCTGTCGCTGTTGCAGCGCACCCGCCTCCTCAACCAGGGCGTGTTCCTCGCGGCGAAGAAATTCAATGCGGCGGCCCGCAATCTCGTGCGCCTGCTTCGCGCTGCGCTCAGCAAACCAGTTGTCACCGAGGAGAACCAAAATGTTGTTTGTGTAGTCCATTGTTGCCTCAAAGTACGCCATTCCTCCAGCAACGGGCGCCAAAACGGGTACACGGCACCTGTCTGTAAGGTTTTCCAGGACCTCCTGTAACTTCGTGTAGTCCTGTAATTTCCGAGTGTTTTCCTTCCGCTGCTGCTCGTTTCTCCTTGCGAGATAGTGGAGGAGCTCCGCCCCGGTTAGCGTTGCATCCTCTTCCAAGTCTTCCGTGTCGATCATCAGTAGATAACTATTGACCTGCCGACAGACTGGAGGCGGGTACGAAAACCAAACAGTGACGCATACAAAAAAGTAAAGGAAAGAGGCAGACGGCTCATCAAAGACACCACCACACCAACACCAAAAGCGGAAGCGGAAGCCCGCACACAGATATAGATGTAATACCATCTACTGGTAACTCATAAAGGCACACGGACCTCACAAAAAGTGTCCACTCGTTCCTTTTATTTTTCTTGTACTTTTTTTTTCTTTGCTTTTTGTAGCCCAAAGAGGCTTCATCACCCCGCTGCCACCCCTCAACTTTTCTAGCTTTCTCGTTCTTTTTCTGCCTGCGCCTCAGTGTTCGCGCTTCCCCCGCAGCTTCGCTCCAACCCTGCCGTGGAGGCGGCCACAAGCGTCTCCACCTGCAGCTTCTCGGAGACACGCTTGTAATCATCCTGCAGATCATCGTCGTACGGTGTGATGCGTACCGCTTGCTCAAGCAGCTGCAGGGCCTTGCGGTAGTCCTTGAGGCCGCAGTGCGCCGCCGCGCCCCGCACGCAGGCCTTGAGCAGTGCATACACGTGTCCGCTCTGTTCGCCAACCTTTCGCGCCGCGGCATTCCGCTGTCGCACCATCTCATCCGCAGCCTCACCCCCGGCAGCATCCACCTCATCATCATCGTCGCTATCCACCAAGTTCGTGGAGAGAGCCCCAGGGCAACTCAGCGCATCCGCCACCTCATGACAGAAACTCAGCACCTGTGAGGTCTCCTCCAAAGCCTCCTTAAACAGTCCCTGCTGCAACAAGACGGCGCTCAAGTTGTTGCGCGTCTTCACGTCGTACGGGTTCGCCTGCAGCACATCGCGGTACACCGCCGCAGCCTCGGCGTATTTCCCATGATAATAGAAGGAAGATGCCTCTCGCAACTTATCCTCTAGCGGATCCCTCGTCTCTAGTAAACCCTGCTCCTTCATGTATTTTTCCACAAGTTGATAGTCTGACAACACATCGTGGTCCTCCTCCGGATTACTGTACGCAGAGGCAATGCGAAAATCTTCAATGCCCTTCTCGCAGCAGCGCCCCCAGCAGTACGCCGCCCCACGTCGGGCGTGAAGCTTCATCATAAGATAGCGGTACCTCTCCTGCGTCAGCTCACTCGCCGGAGTATTCGACAGCATCGTCAAGGCCAACGTACAGTCTTCAATGGCGCGTTTGTATTCAAATAGGTGAATAAAACAGGCGGCACGGTTCGAGACACACGTCAAAAATGCGCCATCACGCTTGATGGATTCCGTGTACGCATCTGCCGCCATCTGCCATTCCTGGTGGTGGTAGTGCTTGTCAGCACGTTCTTTCCAGAACATTGGACTGTCCTCTATGCGTGTTGGTTTGTACCGACTTCGACGGTAGTACTCTTCCTCCCCACGAGAACGCGTCGGCATTGCCGCGAGCTTTGGCGTGAATTCTACAGGAACAACAACGGTGTCGTGGTGCCGCACACATGGAGCGGTGGTTTCGTTCGCCTTCGCCGTCTGCGGCACGACGACGTCCTCCGGCGACGTTGGGACGGCTCCGGTCACCAGGGCCTGGTGTCCCCCTTGCTGGTTTTGGCGTTGCTGCTTCTGTGCCTCCTCCCACACGTAGAGGTCGGCCTCGGCCGTATCCCGCTCCTCCTTCACACGGCCCTCAATGAGTCGCCGCTGCGCCCTTTCTACCTCCCATTGCTCCTCCGTCATGCGACGCCGCTCCTCCTCCCGCTTCCCCACTCGCTCCTGCAGGCGACGGTTGTAGTCCTCCTCCGCCCGCTTCATCGCGGTGGCGCGTCGCTCGCGAAGCGCGCCCGCGTCGTACTCGTCCGCGCGAATGCAGAGATCCGACCACATGCCTGTTTCCTGTTTGCAGAGACGGAGGCGCAGGCACGTGCGGTCCTCCGGGTCCATGTAATACGTCGACCGCGACGCGTCAACAGGGTGTAGGAGGTCGAGCACAAGGAGGTACGTGGGCGCCGCATTGACCTTCACCCAGACGTCTGAAAGGAACACGTCGATCGCCTCCTTCTTGAAGCCTTTGATCGTGACGCGCAGCAGCACCTCCTCCTCCGTCTGTTCCCACTCATACACTGGCCGCACAGGCATCTCTGGACGCAAATGGAGCTGGCAGCAGCTCCCCACCCCCACAGGAAACAAAAAAGAGAGAAGCAAAGGAGCGGGGCCGTGAACAGTAATAACGCGCAGACGGCAACAATCAACAAAGCAAGATCGTACACGAAAACCATATTTTAAAAAAGCTGAAGGGTGTGTTGAGAGTGGATAGGGGATACCAAGCTCTAGAAGCACAAAACTCACACTCACGTGTTGTGCTTATTGACAATATGCTATGGGGCATAGCGGGCCAGCCACGCACGCGCCTCTGCGTGCGCCACTCCCGGTGCAAAAGAAAGGTGAATGACGAAAGCAACAAAACACTTAAGCAAAACTGCATGTATTCTTTGAGTATCATTGTCATCGAAAGTAAACGCAGAGGCATAGCACTAACAGTGATAGTAAAGAGGGAGCGAGGAAGGAAGGGGTGGCACCCATGACCAAAACACAACTCACACATACTGATTCCCCTGCTTCTCTTTCTCTCTCCCAATTACGCACCTCATCTTGGGAAGCGTGAAACCCCACATCGACTCATACAAATTCACTTTTTTCCCCCTTTGTGTGCGTGTGTTCGTTTCTTGTATTTGACTCCGTGCCTTCCGTTCCCCCGCCCGTTTCCTTGATTTTCCTCCTCAGTTCCATCCACGCCCCAGCTGCCTCCAGCAAGGAGGGACATGAAAGCGACATTGTGGCAAAGAAAAAAGGGGGCAAACACGCACATGTACATGCACACAAACCACAACAAAAGAGGAAAGCGCGTTGAACGCAAACACGACATGATCCCTCCCAAAGAAATTCCACAGCGACCAGGCACCCACACGCGCAGGCATGCGGCACTGGCACCAAAGACGCCAGAGGAAAGTGAAGAGAAGTGAAGTACAGCGAAGGAAAAAGAAAAAAGAAAAAGAAAGCGCATTCACCCAAGGCGTCAACAACAACAACAACAACAAAACGCAAGTATCACATGCCAAAAATAAACTAACACATCATCCCCACACAATACCCCCTTACCCAGTGGAAAGGGGCAAGTAGAGAGGGAGATACATAGAAAGAGAGAGTGAGAGCAAACTGATGGTAAAACTTCGCAGCTTCTTCACTGCAGATTATTTTTATTCTTTAAGGCGCTTTATGGTGTCGGTTGTGGTGGACAGTAGACGCCGCATTCCCGGTGCCGTCAACTGAGAGAGGAAGCTGAGCCCGTCGTGGAAGTTCTCACTGAGTAAATACGGAACCTTCATGAAGGAGTTCAGCCACCCTGATGCTGTTGCCGCCTTCACGGTGTACCACTCTTCAGGAAGTACAACATAGAAGGGTGGTAGCTTGTCCTCGAGGACCCCGTTGAAGTTTGAATGATTAGAAAACAAAATGGAGAAGGGAGTTTCTGGGGCACGACTCTCCCGCTCGCAACGCCCCCGCGGAGGAGGAAGAGTGGTAATCAGACGTTTTTGATATTCGCAGCAGATCTCATAGCAGTCCTGGCACAGGCGCAGCCAGCTCGAGGCCACGTACTGCTCTGCCTTCCTGTCAGGCAGTATTCCAGCGTACGAAGAGCAACGTTGGCAAAAAATGAGGCCACACCGACGGCAGTGGTGTCGCATAACAAACAGGTTAAAGCGGCGTTGGCACCTTTGGCACACTTGAGCCGCCTCGTTGCGTTGCCACGTCTGCATGAGGTAGGGATCTTTCACGTACTCACCAATCGCCTGACGATGCAGTACCTGCAGCATCTGCGCCACCTGCACCGCCTTCCGCAATGACTCAGTCCGTCGCTCCAAGAGCAACTGTAGACCACGCTCTCGCTCTTGCATCACTTCCTCTGCTGCACCCAAGACGGCGCCGATGATGTCTCCCTCTACATCCTTTGTCACACGGTTCGCAAGCAACATCATGCGAACCCTATCGCGAATGTAGTCTTCTAGTTTCGTATTATAGGACGGCGTATTGCACCCGGAGATGGCACACGAAGGCACAGGCCTCAGCTTAGCAGCAGAAGCAGAAGCAGAAGCAGCAAAAGTGGAAACAGCAACAGTATCCGGACCGTCCATGGTGGGTGTATCAAACCTGGGCATATGTTGTGGGCTCATGTCGTGGTTATCCATTGTCATGGCACACACCTCACGCTGTGTGCTTAACGGCCAGGCGTCGTTGTCATAACTCAACTCCAGCAGAGTTCCTCCAAAGAACATGCTTCTACCGTCACTTTTATTAGATGTCATTACGATGTAGTCGTCTTCATCGCGTCTTTCGCCGCTTCCGTCAGGGCTTTCTGTTTTCCGCTCGGCTGCTGTTTCTTCTACATGCGCCAAGTCTGCCTCACTCTCACACAGCAGCTCAAATCTTTCCTCCTGCAAAGCATCAAATTCCTCTGCAAGTTTCCTACGCTCCTCCTGCGACAAACGATGCACCGCCAAGGCAACCTCCTCCTCCGTCAAACTTGGGAGAGCCTTCTGACCCACCCAGTATGTGATCCCCACCGCAGAGTCCCCAACAGGCATATTTGCGGCCCCAGCTTCGGCCTTGCCGCCACAACAACCATGTTTTTGTAGCTTTTTCAATACCTCGCCCGCCCATTCCTCCCCGACCTTCATCGTTTCCTCTTGCTTTTCATCCTTCATATCCCGCAAAAAGGCGGTGGCGATCCCCATGAGCTCCTCCATCTGGTCCGTGCTGCTGACAGTCATGTGGTCCCGTCGTTACGTGCCTCCCCACCTCTGCGCGTCCACCCGCTCTCTATACAAGTATCAGTCGCCGCGTCGCTGCAGCGGTAACGGTAACAGGCGACTCAAAGGTTAACCGTACTGATAGCACCTACTTTCAATTTGTTTTTCCCTCTGACTTTCTTTTTGTGCTGTGTTGTTCCTGGCCCCCGGCGTCCAGTCAAAGTTTGGAAACAACGCGAGGAATAAGCGAAAAATAATAAAAGAAGAGGGATGGAAAGGGAGAACAAGCGATGGCCACACACCAAAGTTTTCATGCATGCCTCCTGTTTCGCCTCATTTTATATTCCTCCAGAACAGAGAGATCTAAAAACGCCAAGGCACCCAACCAAAAAAACAAAACACAAGCAACATCGGTATAGGAAAAGGCCATCTCACTTATCTATCAACCGATACTATCGGGAAGCCACGGCTGCCCCACAGCCGTCGCCCGCCTCAGTAAAGCAGTTCAATAACACGCATGCAACAGTACATCGTTGGAAATACGACAAGAAGCCCATCAATGCGATCAAGCACGCCGCCGTGGCCTGGCATTAAGTGTCCTGAGTCTTTTACCCGCGCAGTTCGCTTCAACAGGGACTGCAGGAGGTCACCCATGACTCCCATCACCCCCAGCAGCACACCGACAATAAGATAGAGAAGGGATAATCCCCAACTCTGCGCGAGGGTCCCGCCACCGCGGGCAAGGTGCAAAAGCAAAACAAATACCCCAGCGCCGGCAATGACCCCCAAGACAGCCCCCTCGATTGACTTTTTAGGGCTAATAGCCTCGCGCAACGGGTGTGTCATACCCTTCATTGAACGTCCCACCAACATTGCCACAATGTCAACCGAAAAGTTGCTCACAAGTGCGGCCAAAATCCACGGTCTCCCTGAATCGTCTATGTCGTAAGCAAGTATAGGATACACCACTCCAGCAATCCAAACAAAGCCAAAGTATTCCAGACATAAATTCAGCAATAACTCTGATGTTTGCTTCTCATCCATCACGCGGAGTTCTTCTTTAAGAAATAGTGAGCGTACTATGTTGACTGACCTGTCCGGACACAAAACTGCTTGTTCGTTGAGCTTAGCTTGAGTCACTAAATCATTCATTGTTTGTCGGCAGATGAATGATCCCAAATCTATTCTGCATTGGCCACACAACGTGAAAATGGTCAACCCAAGGAAGTAAAAGGCCCCGAATAGTAGAAACCCATCCACCCCCATACAAGCCGCAACTATAATAAGAGATGAAACAAGCGTTTTGGTGATGATTAAGGTGTTATGCGGGGCCACTGGTGCGGCATACTCCTTTGGAAGATCCTCATGTACAACGTCATTTATTCCTTGCCCATTATCCCGCAGAAGCGCCACTTTAATGTGTCGCTTTATGCCTGACCACTCCAGCATCCCAAAGAAGAAAAAACACCAAATAAGCAGGGCGCATGTGTATTTGCTGTACGCCGCTAGAGCTACTGCTGTGGGTCCAACGAAAGCAATGGTGGTGGCCCGGATAAAAAGATTCGTATCCCTCTTCATGGTGTAAATGTTTGTAGACACAATCCGCACTTTGTACAACGTCATAGTTACTATCCAGTAAGACAACGATCGAGCACCTCTTCCTTTCTCCAATTTAGCCCCCTTTAAACGACTATGTATGTACGTATGTATATCTTTGTATATCTGCATATACAAACACACAGCCGTGTATGTAAAACGCGCTCTCTCCCTCTCTTTCTTTTTTTTTTTATCTTTCTCTTTGCAACCGCAGCAGTTCTAAAAGATGAGAAAAAAAAACGAAAAAGGACAGTCAGGTACCTCAACGGATATGACAATGGGCACAAAAAGGCAGACTACAAAGGATAATAACCTCCACTGGAGCATCCATCATGTCCCTGAACTAATATATATGTGCGTTTGTGCGGAGAGCCAAGTGAGAGCACGCACTCTTCTTTCCTTTCTTTTAGCCCTTACCGTCAGTTCCGTTGGTGACAGGACAATACGGGCAGCTCTTCCCCACCTCATCTTCCCACGGCCGCCGCACCATCACAGCCATGCAAGAGGGACAAAGCCATGCCAAATAGCTGGCGTTGGAGCCATCCGCGGTTAACATGACGTTGGGCTCTTGTGGCAAATTGACAGGTTGTACCACATACCGTTCAACCAGGCGTTCTCGCACCTGACGGTCCACAGCATTGTCATCTTGAGACGTCGTTTCAGCAGCAGTTCTGTCCAGCATGTAACCCACGTAAGAAAGGGAAAACTGGGGCGCACATAGGCCTCCCGTGGAGTGCGCCAGCGCCTGAAGCCGGTCTCCCACAGCTCTAGACAGTGTGGCACGCCCAAACACGTGTACAGTGGTATGCAACCTTGTCAGGGCCAATGCAGCCGCGGAAAAGGAGCACTCTGCGGCAAACGACAACGCAGGGGTGTCGCATACATCACTAAACACCATCAAGTAACCCTGCGTAGACGGGGCAGTGGCAAAATCAAGGGCCGCCGTATCACTCGTCGCCTTCCCCACGACACGAGCACGGAGGAAGCCGCATGCAGTTAGCAACGCACCAGCAAGGCAGCGCCACACATCAACGGTGTCATTGACCCCGTTTTCACACTTCTCCTCCGCAGCATGCCCACAGCGCAAAATGGCCCGCCGTAACCGAAAGGCCGATCGACCCCTAAAGAACGCTGCAAGCCCAAGTCTCCGCTCGGCGTCACTGTTCGTTGGCCTCGAAACACCTCTCCTTTCATCATCATCCTCCTCCGCATCATGTGGGGCGTCGCTTACACATGAAGTGTATGCGTATCGCGCCCCCTCAGCCGGGTTGGCGCGGAGAAGGGCGACGGAAGGAATAAAGTCAGCCGAGCCCACCTGAACAGAGTGAAACATTGCGGAGACGCCATAAGCGGCCTGGGTGAGAAGCTCGGGACTGCACAAAACACCACTAGAGTGCAAAATGCAGACGCAACATGACATTCGTCCCTCCGTGAGACGCCTGTGGCTCCCTCCAACCGTGTCTCCCCTTCCTAACTTCTGCAGCTGGCACGGCACAACGATAGACACACACAACCAAAAAAAAAACAAAGGAAAAGTAGCGACAGATCTACCACAAGCACCATGGCAACGACCTGGTGAGGCCGCACCCTGCGGCGTCAAAGCAGCGATGCCTCACGCAACAACTGCCGACAACTTGACCAAGCCAGCCAAGACAGAGAAAGAAGAAAACAAGGAAGAATAGATGACAAGTCGTTCATGCTTCGGTGGACAACGGCAATACAAAAAAAAAAAAAAAACGGAAGCAAAAACAAAAATCAAAAAAAGTAAAAAAAACTTAGCGAAGGTCATGAAGACGACCAATGAGTGCATGCTTGGCGCGGGTAAGCATCTTCTCCTTCAGCTCATCCAATACACAGATCTTGTCGTAGTCCATGATCGCCGCGTCCATCTTCTCCACGCTCTCCTCCTGTATGGCCTCGATGATGGCACTCACAAGCATGTGCTCGCGAGTAAGGTGGTCAAACTGCGTGTCTAGCTCCTGATACTCATCAAACCGCTCACGCAACTCAGTCACGTCTTCCATAATACTTTCCCCCGTAAAAGTGGCAAGTTGCGTCAGAAGCGCCATGAAAAACAGCTTTCGCGCCGCACTACGCAACACCGCATCGTTCAACGTATCACGAGCGAGTTGCTCATATAACTCACGCGCGCCCTTGTAGTCACCCAGTCTTGCCTTTGTCTCTGCCACCTTTTGTCTCAACCCATCGGCCGAAGCCCGTGACCCCTGCATCTGGTAGTACACGGCTGCCTTCTCGAGCCACGTTATCGGAGCCGTCCCCTCTGTAATCTCGCTCAAACTGACGCAGATTTTTGCAGCTTTGATATGCATTTGATTTTTCTCATACTGGCCAAGCACCAGTGTATATAAGGCCGCTGCCGTCTTTTTATCGTTGGTTTTGACATAGCACATCGCAGCATCTTCAAGGTCTGTTGTTTCATCCACTTCGTCCTTGTAGGCCCTCGACATGTCAGCGGCTCGCTCATACGCCTTGGCAGCCTTGGTGTAGTTGTTGCATGCCTTGTAGTGCGTCGCCGCCTGCTTGAACTTGTCGCGTGCACTTTCGTACCTGTCACCCCTGAAATACTTCGCCAATGAGAAGCCCTTGAGCGACTTATCAGCCTCTTTCACAAGCTGGTCGGCCTTACTCTCCATCCAGCGGCTATGTTAGGATGGGATCTTCCTAGCAAGAATGTAGTCGGCTCGCCCTTGCTCCTTTCCTTCCCCGACCACGACGTATCACCGTTAATGTTGAATCCCTCTGTGTGCCAGTTGTGTTCCACGTAGGCAGCCACACAACAAAAAAAAAAAAAAGGGCAAGCAAAGAGAAGGGGTCATCAAGGCACCATTGCAAACAGGTATCTTCTACACTCAGGCAGCTGCACGTCACACCATCGTCCATGCCGCCCTACACCCTCGCCATCTCTCTCGCTCTCTCCAACATCAGAGCCACTCATTTGGTCAGTCTTGGAACATTTAAGCATAGCATACATGGATAATACTGACGGTTTGTCGTCCTCATACTCCGCGCGCAACGCAGGCAGGCACACAAAGAGAAAAATGAATGAGGCATAACCCCATCAGGAGGGAAAAGAAGGAACGGGGAGTCGGGTAAGGCGCCCGATAAACGGAAGGCATATAAAAACAACAACACACACATATATACAAATAGCATTGGGACAAGACAAGGATGCACATGCATGAACATGTTGCTAGACAAAGAAGGTGGGATACACACATACACATACAATACGTATATACACAACACAGCGATATCTCCCCTTACAATAAAAAAAAAGGCACCAGCATTACATCAACATCATCTCCCACCCAACGTTCAGGGAAGCATGTTTTTGTTCTTGTTATCGTTTTCGTTACATTGTGGGAAGGAGAGGTGTGTGTGTGTGTGCGTGCGTGCGTTTGTGTATGTGTGTGTTCTTCGTCGGCTGCTGGTGTTGTTTTCGCACCCTGAGTCTTTTGCTATTGTTACTATTTGGCTTCTTGCGTCGTACGGCCTTCCTCAGTGTTTGTTTCCCCTTCCGTCTCCTTTCCCCCGTGTACGCAGGTCCCCGCCGCTGCATCATGCTGTTTTCCCTGTTTTCCTGCGGCTTTTTCGTTGCCTCCTTGTACCTCGTTCGTCTCTTCCGTTTCCTGCCCGTCTGCCTTCTCGCGGTGTGCGCCGTTCGTTTGTTCCTCACGTCACGTACATTTTCTCCGTCCTCTCCCGCAAGAACAAAATTGCCTTCGTGGAGTCCTTACCTTTTCCGTAGGGCGGCAGTTTGGCCAGCCAGCTGCTCCTTCAGTTCATGCCGCCTGCGATGCGCGCGCTCCTCGCGCTCCCGCTTCGAGTGAAGCCGACGCTCCATCTGTCGCCGTACCTCCTCGTGCGATACAACGCGATCCCCCTCCCCCTCCTCCAGCGCCTCAACGCCCTCGTCACCGCCGAGATGGGCGCTCGGCAGGCATAAGTGACGGACCAGTCGCACCGCGTTGACGCTCTGTTCCTCTGGTATATTCAGCATGGGGATAAATGGCGGCCCCTCCTCGTCTATCATCAGCTCCACTGCCACTTCTTCCTCCCTCGCCACGTCGCGTGCAGTTGCCCCTTCTGCCTGCATCAATATTTCGTCGGCGGAGGTGTCCACCATACTTTCCTCGGATGGCCGCGCAATCTCCGCCTGGGCAACCTCCAACCCATCCTTCTCCGTGGGGTAGATGGCGGGTGCGAGTGCGAGTGTGAGTGCCCTCTCCTTCGGGGAGAGAATGCGCCTTGTCTTTTCTTCTGTCGCTAGCTCGGCCAATCTGGCCTTCTTGCGCCGGTGCCTCTGAAATGTGTACATGATATTTGTCGCGCGTTCTTCAATCTTCCCGAGAAACTGCAAATGGTTCGACTCCGTGCAGTGGTCGTTAACGAGAAGGGATTTGGAGGTGTCACCCATTGAGCAACCCAACTCGCGAAAAATCTCTCCTGTGACAACACGAATGTTTGCAAGGACTTCCTTGTGCTTCTCTGTGGAGACTTGGAGGTTCTCTAGCAATTCCTCTGTCTGCGCAAGACGCTCCTCAAGCCCCTTGATGAGGTTCCTCTGCTTCGCCTCACTTTCGTGCTCCGCCGCGATAACAGACTTTAGCGTGCGAATATCACGCTCCATTTCCGCCCTGCTGGTGGTGAGCTCATTGACGTACTTGTAAAGAGAGAAATTTGTGTCTCCAAGTGACTCATACTCCCTCGCCAATGACTGTATGTCGCCATTACGTGAGAACTCAGAGAGCCGCCGCAGAACGTCGTTGAGGTCCTGTCCATCCTCCGCACCAGCTTCTGAGTCACCGCCCTCAGCCAAGTCCTCCATGGTGTCAGTCTTGTCATCGAGTGGCTGGCGTCGCGTAGTGCCCGTATTTCCAAACCCCGTGGTGATGGCAAGGGTCATTTTGTCAGTGTCGTCCATTTCGTACTGGCGCGCCTCAAGCTCAATTTGCAGCTGTTGCTGTTCCTCCCGCATATCCCTGATCTCCGCCATTGCCGCATCCAACTCCTGCACCTTCCCATCGTACTCCTGCTTCTCCTCCTTTATCGCCTCCTGCAGCTGCTCCACCTGGTGCAAGTATCCGTCGCGCTCGTCCAGGTCCTTATTAGACTGCTCAATGCGCTCTGACATAAGCTTCTTCTTGGACCCCAGGTCGTCCTCCATCCGCTTGTACACACGCTGAAACACACGGCGCTCCTCGCGAATGATGTCAATGTGGTCACGAAGCTCCTTGTTGTACGAAATGGCATCGTTGAATCTCGTCAGTGCCTGATCCAGACGATTCTCTAGGATGTCCACCTGACGCTGTAGCGCCTCGGCATTTTCCCTTTCGGCGTTCACGCCACCCTTCAATCGACGGCTCTGTAGGAGATCAATTCTGGCCAGCTGGTACTGTCGCGTCAACTCATTTTTCTTCATCTTTTCAAACTGGTAACGTCGCTCCAGCGCATCCACCTCGCCCTTCAGGGTCGCATATTTGTCGGCCTTGATGTAGTCGTACGGCACTCCGCTCACAGCTGCTATCTCCTTCTTGAGCTTCTCGTTGTCCAGTGTGAGCTGCCGAATCGCCTCTTCCTGACGAATCACCTCTGCCTGGGCAGAGATGATGCCACCAGCCACCTGCGAGCGGCGCGCCTCCGCCTCAGCAGCCGCGCTATTCGTGGCCATGCGTTCTACCCTGCCTACTCGCACCTTGCTTGATGCTGCTGCTGCTTCTTCTTGTTTTCCTTGTCTCCCACTGGAGATGGAACGAGTGCCGGCTGACGTTTTCACGTAGTCGCTCTCTGTGCTTCTGTGTGGGGACGCAGCGCGGTACACGGCGGGAAAAAAAAAAATGGGTACATGGAGTAAAGGGAAGAAAAGGAAGATGAACCAGCAGAGAAAAGAAAAACAAGCTCAGGGAATTACCGCCTCAGCGCAGCGCAAATAAACATGCAGAGCCCAGGCAGAGTGATTAACGCAAACAGCAGGTTTTTTTTTATTATTGTTTTTGTGTGTGTGCGTGTATTGTTTTCTCATTATACTGTACGTGTGGGTGTAGGTGATTTTGTCTGTCTTCCCCCTGCTGAGGGCGGGAAGAGGATCAGAGAGTCTTTGCAGGGCGCGGCATGGCATGCCAAGAACAGTCAGAGTCAAAAAAAAAAAAGAAGGAGAGGAACGCCCAGAGATTTATTCTCACGCACGCGCGCGCACACACACACACGTGCACAGGAGAACGGCAGTGAAAACAAGCGAAAGACGGAAAAAGTGAACAAACTCCTTCCACCTAAAAAAGTCAAAAACCATATTTTATAACCTGCTCGTTTTGCCGGTGGCATGCTCAGGCGTGTCAACCTCGGCCTTGGCAAGCTCGTAGAAGAGGACAAACGCATCCTTGATGGGGGCCTCCCCCACAATTGAGGTGTGACCATCGTCATACAAGATCCACTTGCCGCAACTGTCGTTCAGCGCCACCGCGCTGTAGTGCCCGTAATTAATGTCCCCCCTGTGAGTCACGACACCACGCAGTGTGTACGTTGCGTCTCGCACGGGCGACTCCGGGTCAAGGTAAGGAGCCATGTCCAGCACCTTCGAAAACTTCACACGCGTGTTGTTCTTCGATGCCTCCTCCATATGCACTCTGAAGCGCTTGAGCGAAATAAGAAGACACTTCGGCAGCAAAAATGGTCTGCGTTCCATTTTGCTGTCCTGACGCCCCCTGCATTTCCTGCACTCGATGGCGTTATCCCCCTCAAGCTTGTCAGGTGAGTAGGTCGCTTCCAGGCATTCCTCCAATGTGACCCTATTGCTCGCCTCGTTGCAGTCAACAGACAAGCCACGAAGGGAGGAATATCTTGGCGTGCATGCAGAGGGGTGCGTCATGCACTGAAAGCCATCACGCAGGGCCAACCTGGAATCATCGTACTCCAGCCACACCCGTGGCTCACCAGATTGACTGAGAGAGGGGTTCGTGGCACCAAAACACCCAAAGTAAGGATCCGCGCCGCCGGGGGTAATGGGACGTTTGGAGCTGCGCGCGCTTGCCTGGTACAGCAGGTGAAAGTGGCGCCCGTCACCGACGTCCATGAGCTCCCCTGTGAACAGGTCAGGCGTCGACGCCGACAGATCCTCCCCAGCGGCGTGTCGTTCCTTCAAGCAACGCCTCCTGAGCTCCTGTCCTCGCTCGAGAATATGACATGCAAGGCGAGAATAGGTAGAAAACACGTCCGCAGAAGTCCGCTCCACGCAGAATGGCACATCCAGAGCAGAAAACGAAGCTTGTTTTGCCTTAATAAAGTACCACATGTAAACCTCCTTTTCCTCCTGCCCCTCATATTTCTTCTTCCTCTCATCACTCCCATCCTTCTCAGGTGTCTCTTCCTCTGCCGCACCCCCACGCGTTTGTTCGAGTTCCGCCGCTTCAGGAACGACGGCGGCAAATATCATATTTTTTTTCGGCAGCGGTTCGCCCTCATCACCGTAAATGATGACCCTGTAGCTGTCCAGCACAGGCCGGCTCTCCCCAGCGCCACCCTCCAAGCCGTCGTTAGCGTTGCCGGCAGCGTCACAGGCAATGTTTCCGCTCATGTTGTCCTCATCGTGCGCAGTGGCAGTGAGCGGGACAGCAGCCTGAACGCGGGTCACCGTAGCAACGACATCTTCGGTACGAAGCAGCTCCATCAGCTCACGAGCGACGTCAGCAGAGTAAACGGCACCGTTCCAGTCACATTGTACCAGGAGCTGCATCCGCACGCGTTTCCCTGTCGGAAACAAAACAACGACCTCTGTCATGCGCTTCTTCGGCGGCGTCACAACCGTAGCAGCAAGAGAAAGATTTTTCTCAAATATCTTCGTTGCTGCCCCGCACGTCAGGCACTCCAAGCGTGTGCTAGTCTGAAAAAAAAGAGTTCGGAGATGAAGCTCTTGTTGTTGTTAAGAAAATCCTGCCAAAGGATTTTCGACAGCTGCGGCGCAGGAATAGACGCGTCGGAGTCACGCACCTCCCGCTGACACTTCCCAGTGATCTTCTTTGTCTCCTCATGCATGCAGTCAAGAAGCGTCTCAATAAATTCCATGGCATCTTGCTGCTCGTACGAATCAAAGCGTCTTACCTCTCGTCCAAATGTCGTTTTCAATTTGGATGTTTCGGCAACCTGTTGCACGCCTGACCACATGTTACGCAAAAGGCACACCATCTCCCGCGTGACAAGAGGATTCCGGCACTCCGAGAGGGGGATGGACAAAATTGCATGCCGCACGGCCCGCATGTTAAAGAGGCACTGCAATGCACTGTTCATGTAACAAGTGTTGCCAATGTTTAAAAGACCGCACACACCACACCTCTCCAACCGCATGCTGTCTATCCGTTGCCGCAAGCAGAGTTTGAAGCGAAGCACTGGAGCTTTACGGCCCGTTCCCGTGGACGGAGCGGCCCGCACTTGTTCCAACACCTCTCCAACAGATATGGCACTCAGGTTTGAGAGCGACTGCGGCGGCTCCAGCGGAGCACCCTTAACATGTGTAACGCAAATATTTACGCCATCATCAGTGCATAATGCGGCGTGCCATTCTGCTGAATCTAAACGTCCCCACTGAGAGGAGGGGGTTTTCTGAAGCTTCTGCATGGCCCGCTGCATCACTTCAGAGACTTTGGCGCGGTGCAGAACGCGCTCCAAGAACACCGACGGAGAGGGTGCCTCACCAAACACAAACGCAAGCGTTGCGCGCCGAGGTCTCAGGCGCGCTTCAACGTCCCGCAGCATTTTAAACTTACCCTCCACCAGATACTTTGGACCGCCTCCAAAGTGTCTCCAAAGCAGCTCAAAGAGCTCCTCCGGGATAATATCCAACTCTGAATTGTCCTCTCGTACCACATGCTTCACTGGGTGATCCGACGATAACTCCACCAGTTGAAGGGTGTCAAAGGGACCGGGAGGCGGGGCGTCCTCCTCCTTGTTGCTACAGAGCCATTGCAACAGCTCTTGCATCCACTTCACAGGAAAAAGTGCACCTCGCCCTATGTGGTTGCCCTTGCTCTGCAAGTTTACCCGCGTGGCTGTGGTGTACACCTGAAACGCCACCTCCTCCTTACAGATAACGGCGGTCTCCTGCCAGAGCAACTGCATCGGTATCCCGGAGGAGAACGCATATTTAAAGTACGGAAAAATGAATGAAATCCACAACCCAAAATCGTGCAGCAGGACACCCTCCAGCTCCACCAGCGACGACGCATACGCCTGCTGCGAACACCCAGCCCGCGTTGCTAGAACAGTTTGCGTCAATCGCTCGTTCAACTGAGCAAAAATAACACTCATTTCATGAGGAAGACGCTTCCTGTGAAAGTATAACATGGAATGGTACCTGTGCAGGACCTTTCCCGTTATTTCGCCTAGTTGCGGCACAAACAACCTCCGTGCGACTTCAACGTCGATGTCGGCATCTCCGTCAGACAAGGAGAATTGCTTCTCAGGTGACTGTTGAACTCGCGCCCTCACAGCCTCTATGGCGCGTAAGGCGCGATCACGCATTGTGGCAAACCAAGGAACCTCAAAAACGGCCACACCGCCCTTAAAGGGCAGCAACTCGTCGCGTGTCTTGGCTATGGATTTCACAAGGTCGTCGCCTTCAATCAGCTTCGCCATTTCTCTCAGGACCTCCTGCACATAGGCTTCCACAGGTGGGATCGGAACCAAGGGTGGCGAAAATGTCTCAACAGCAGGTGGGCTCTCATACGCCCTGTTTACTACAGGCATTTTTGAAGACAAACAAAGATTCAGGATGCCGTTCTGCACATGCACTTTTTCCGCGTCCGATAGAGTAAAAGCGTCCGTGACGAAGCCATCATTTTTCACCTGCGTGGGCACCTCTCCGCTAACGGGCTTGACATCTGTATTGAGATCCCGTTCACCCATATTTGTCGGCAAACACGGTATTTCGCCTCGGCAAGTCCCTCCCCGTGAGTACACGACGAGTAGGCAAAAACAAACAAATTTTCGAAGCAGAACCAACTTCTGCTGCAACCGCGATGCCGATGTTAAGGAAAACAAAGCAGCGTCCCGCCAGAGTGCACTTAGACAACTCGGCGTTGTTGTCGTCGTTGTTTTTTTTTTACTTATTTTTTGATATTAGGTTCCCTGTGCCTACCTTCTCCCTTGCTTGCGCCTTATGCTTTCCGCGCGGGTGGATGTAGTGGCGCACGCGACAGATATATATGCGCCGCTGCTTGACTGTGGTCCGAGTACTTCTTTGTGGAGCACCCCCGCGTTTAGCAAACACACACACACACACACACAAAGGCAAACAAAGATACCCGCGCCGACCCTATTTGCACAAGCAGAAGGCAATCTCTCCTGTTGCGGTCACACCTTCCGGAGAAGCAATGTGCGGCCGGGCCACTAATGCTGCTGCTGCTAGCAATCTTCACAGTAGGAGTGAATCAATGCGTGGTGATGCAAATACGGCAAACAAAAGAGACGTGAAAGGAGATAAAGCAAGGGCAAAAGAAACACGCACACATAAAAAATAGAAAAGAATGAGATAAAAGGCGCACTACAACAGTGTGCTGCTAAGGTGAAACTGCGGCAAATGTGTGCTGGGTCAGCGCAGTCCGTGCAAAGAGATCAGCAACAAAGATGAAAAAGAAGAACAGTCAAGGAAAAAGGAGGACCAGCGAAAACGTGTGGAAGCACCTTCCACTCTGCCCCACACCCACTCCCTTCTAAGGGAGGAGAGCTTCTCTCTCTCTCTCTCTCTTGATTGTTATCTTTGCTACAAAGTGTCAATCAGTCCGTGGCACGCCTCGACACCTTCTGTGCGGGCTGGTGCATATCTTGGACGCAGGTGGGAAGAAACTCCGTATTGTTTTCGTTCACCAAGCTTATCTCACGTACAACAAAGAGCACAGCCAGCAGCGTCACCATGAGAAGCATCAGAGCCGTAATGGTCTCCGATGACGTCTGCGTTCCCACAGCAAAACCGTAGATCCCCTCCTTCGTCACAACTATGATGTCGTTTATTCCATCCCCGTTAAAGTCCCGCACAATGACGGGGGCCACAGGAGGAGATTCCAACTCTATCGTGCGCAGCACACGACCGTTCCGTGTGCCCAGAATACTCATGTATCGCTCCCCTAGTGCTATAATAAACGGATCGGTGTGCAGATACCGTTTAGACCCGCTGACACTCATAACAGAGTCATCCTGGCTCTGGTAAAAGCTGTAGGCGGCCAAATGCGGAAATGTCACTGCACGATGCATGCGTTCCTTTGCAGACAATCCTGCCGTACCCGCGTCTGCCTCGGCTGCTTCACGAAGACCGTAGAAAGTGGCATCCGTCTGTGTACGCCACATCACCCGACGACGTGAAGGATCCACGCACGTGACCAACCCTGTGTCAATCAAGAATACGGCATGCCTTTCCACTTGAAACAAATCCCGACCCCGCATTGTGTGCAGCTGTACTACAATTGGTGTAACACTGCGAGTCTTCTTCGACACAACATTGCGGCTTCCAATGAGCTCAAGAGTGTTGAGTGCGTGGGGCGCCTCCTCACCCCGCACATCGCCGTCAATGAAGTGGTGAATAAGGTCTAGACGGCCAAAAAAACCCTCCGTGTCACATATGGTCGCGTTGAATAGACGATCCTCCGCCACTGGGATCCCTGTGTGTATGACACCAAGGCAATCGTCAAGCAAGTCCACACCATGGCGAGAATGCATCTCCACGCGTGGTCCTATTTGCGTCCCGACAGCATCCACCTGAAAGTCGTCGTTGATGTCGTGGTAATACACCCCCGCAGACTTTAGAGGAGCCAATCTCGTAATGACACTCCCCGTGTAAAGGTGAATCACCTCGATACTATTCTTACCGTGAAATATCATTGCGTTCGCGGCCCGAGGACGGCTTTTATTTACAGGGGCTGCCGCCGCACCCTGCAGATTCATCCGGCCCAGCTTCTCTCCAAGAGCTCCGTAATCCTCCTTATTCATGCGAATAAGTCGGTCCTTATATTTTACCACCACCCTGTTTCCTGCCCGAAAGGAACGCTTCTTTCGATTCTTGGAGTGAAAAAAAACATGTGGGTGGATGTGCTCATCCCAGGGATGAGAATAGTGATGCGGCAGGAGCGTAATGATCGCCTCACGGTAAAACGTCCATGGCTTTTCCTGCGCGCGAAACTGATTCCGAACCTCTTGGCTCTTGACGATAGCGTTGCGCCTGAGGGAAGTCACATTGTCGGCTAGGATGCACTCTGTCTCATTGTCACACGCGCCACCAAGCACCTCCTGAATAGAATTATCGGCGTCTGAGGTGTAGCGCCACCGCACCTGACCATCAGCCCCGTTAAAGGCGGCATACAACATCAACTCCGTTGCGTTCGGGCCTGTGACCCTAATCGCCACGAGAACGGTGCCCTCGTCCTGCTTGTGAATGCGCTCTGGAACGATGCTCACGGAGGCGTGGTACGTCTCGACCCAAACGCCAGACAGAGAAACATCCCAAATCTCCGTCAGATCGTGCGGAGAGAGTCGGCGCAGGCGAAAGTCGTCCGTCACCACAACAATGGCGTTTTCCTTGCCTGTTCTGCTAAGCTTGCCGACGGCAATGGCGACAATGCGAGCGTACAAGTTCCTCGACTGGCCGGAACGAACAGTCAGAAACACGTTCTCCGAGTTGCCTCGCGCCAGGTGCGTTTTGAAGGCCTCAAGAATACCGTAGCTGGTGCTTGCGAGGAGCACCGGCCGACCGTCACCCATCAGGTCCGACACCACCGGCCTACTCATCACGTACTGTGTGATCTCCACATCCGAGACGGGAATCTTAAAGTTGCGCCGAACGGTGAGGCCACCCTCCTGCGACCATCCAAAGATGCAGAAAATGATGGCCACGCACACTATGAGAATGTCTCGAAGACGCATTACCTGCGGCAAATACGCGTGTGGTACTCAAATAAATTTTAAAAAGCCAACAACACCGCTTTCGGTCCCTCTCTCAGACTTGGTTTAACTTTCCGCCTGCTTTTTCTTTTGTTCCTACAAGCTGAGAAAGAAAAAAGAAAGAAGTAAGGGACGAGGCAGACACACACCAGCCACAAGAATGTATCGCAACAGTTCCTACAGAGAAAAATATCAAACAACTCAGACGCTAAATTTTGATAAATCTTCTAACTAACGGTAAATCTCGCTACATCGCCAGCAGACGGCACCATGATGAATGTTGCAGCACCGCCGCTGTACTGATGCTGCTTGGGGCCACGCACCTCTTGCACCGCACTTTGGCCACCAGCATGCATATCGCAGCACGGAAGGGGCTGGTTGGTGTGTGCTGAGACAAGGGAACACAACGGCATGTAACCCGCCTTGTCGTGCCAACAAGACATCCAGAGCTTCTCGGCCGGCTTTTGAACCACGCCCACTCATAGAATGTGAGTGGAGAGCCTTCGAACAGGCCTGCAGGCATCCACGGAAAGCCGTGAAGAAGAAGCGGAAGAAGGGAACTTCACAAGAAGAGAGGCATGTAAAGAAAATGAGCAGGGAAATTGAAAGAGATCGCGGCAAATCTCGCTACATCGCCAGCAGACGGCACCATGATGAATGTTGCAGCACCGCCGCTGTACTGATGCTGCTTGGGGCCACGCACCTCTTGCACCGCACTTTGGCCACCAGCATGCATATCGCAGCACGGAAGGGGCTGGTTGGTGTGTGCTGAGACAAGGGAACAAAAAACCGGCGGTAGAAAGAAACGTCCGTTGGTATTATCGGCGTCCATCCATGAGAGCTGCACATTCCTCGTTGGAGGAGATTTTTACGCGAGTAGGGCCAGTGACCCC